AATTTCAAACATGCAAGCATAAAACGGAAGAATGCTGTGATATAAATGCTGTAGTAAAACCAAACCAGAAGCGAGAAGCATTAACCACATCCACATAAAACTGGAAACTATTAAACGCTCTATATACTACGGACATAGAAAATTTATAAGAACGTTGAACGCTATAACGCAGAATCGAAGGATGCTAAAGTACGATAATGCGTGAATGAAGGATGCTAAATTTTATTTTGCTTGAACGCAAAATGTTAAAGAATATATCCAGTGTTCTGTCACAAAACTAGCGAATATGAAACTTACGAATATGATACTTCAGTGGAGAATATAAATGAATCAATAATAACTAAAAACCTTCGCTCTTCTTTGCCGTTAACATTTTTTCAAGGTGTATAAAAAAAAAAAACGCATTAAAAGAAAATTTTTGCACGATTAAAGTTAATACAAAATTGCAAATATTTTTTATTTGCATATAAAGAAAAATATTCACTTTGTGCGAATAAAGTTGACATCGAATCGGCAATATAATGAATAAGTTATATCTATAAAGATATTTAAGAGAGCAGTTGACTGATACTACATAAAGTATACCGTTTTCTGAAGAAACTATTGTCTTCAACACGTCGATCGTAATCTTGGACACACACACACAGCGAAATGTGCTTAAAATTAGCATTTATTGCGTGAAGATTTGTTTGTGACAGCGTGTCCCATTCTCAATTTTATTGAGAATCTGTAGGAATTTTTAAAGCAAAAAATATAAGAGTGATGTACAAATGTCTATCGACATCAATCTTTGCATGATTCAAGAGAATCGAAAAAGTGGAATAAAATTCATTTCCTGATTATCGTCGATTATCCTGCCTTACCACAAGGTAAACAAAAACCCATTGAAGCTACAGTCTGAAAGTTTAAAAGTAAACGTCAGCAAATTATTATAAAAGAATTTCACTGCGAAAAACACTATTCGTGTTTGCTTCAATCGTACAAAATGTTCATTCTTATATATATATATTTTAATGTTAACGGTACTGAGAAAATATTTGTACAAAACTAGCGATTAGCGGTTCGATACATGAAAACCAGGAGCGTTAAAATTCACGACATAAAATTGACAAAAAAAAAAGAAAAAAAAGAAGAAACATTTAACGTGGAATCTGAACTATCTGACGTAGAGTCACAGAATGCTAGAGGCTCCGTTACGGAATATTATGCACAGAATATTAAATAGCGGTTATTAATAAATGGCCCTGCACAAAGGCAAAGAATATAGAGAGGCAGTGTATGTGCGTTGTTAAACGAGATGAAATACGACAGAGAGTCGGATCAGTGGAATAAACCGACTACGTATGGAACGACAACGTAAGGAACAAGAAAGGCGACGTGACGCTTTTTCTCAGCTCCCGTCTGAGCCACACTTTTTAACGAGCTGGTAATAAAGTGAACCGTTCAGCCGAAATGAATTTATGTATACTTCGCGCGACATGAAAATGTGCACCGGCTTCCAATTGCCACTTCAATAGGCGTTAACGCAGATAAATGGCCACTAAATCTCCTCCACTTTCACAATGCTTTTCTATTAATGTATTTTACAAAATTGTTGTCGTGAAACTGCTGCTGGTCAACCTTGTTACTTGGCCACGATAGCAATTTTAACATTTCCCAAAGTTTAACCATCAAAAAAGTCAATTTTCAATTTCTGACTAAATCTCTACTGTTCATTTAACCGGTTATTATTATTATTATTATTATTATTATTATTATTATTAACTATTACAGAAAAGAAAAACCATCATCTCGAAAGAAAGCAAATCTAACTAACGCGAATCCAATTGCGAGATATATTCCCAGTCTTCTTGTACAAGTCGAAAGTTACTAAAAATACCCAACTCAAACAAAAAGGTCTAACAAGGTGAAACGGAAAAATTGGTCGCCACCTGACGAAGAAACGCAACCGATTCGATGCACGGCGCGATTCGCGTTGTACCTTGCGTGGAACGTATGGAAACTTCAGCTCGCCGGAAGCCGATAAGGGTAGAAAAAGGCACGTTCGGTGCGTAAAGTTGGCATCCAGAGTCGAACAAGGCGGGTATAGAGCGTGGCTCAGTAACATAACGGATGTATCGGATGTCCAGATCTCTCAACCTGCTGCCGTGCAGAATTTTTCGTGGCTCGCAACGACCCGCTGACCACTCTCCTCACTTGATATCCGATAACGTCCACGGAGGTCCTTATTATACCCAGCAGGACACAGCCTCTCCTTCTCACGACTTTTACGGATTCTCTCCCGGACCCGGGAATATCCGCTTTCCGATCAAACGTTCGTTTGGCCACGATGGAACGTCGAAGAGAAACGAACAAGGTGTATACACGGCGAGAATTTCACGTAACATTTGAATCATAAATTAATGGCCAGCGAGCATCGAACGTAATCATTTTAAAGTTAAAGCGGAATTTACGCATCGTGGAGAGAAAAGTTCAATAAGGGGAGAACAATAAGACTCTAAAGAATATTAGAAAATAGGTTTCTCTAGATTCTCAATAGGTTTTCAATGAAATTTGATGTGTTGTAATCTTTCTGTTATTAATTCGCGTTAACATTAAAACTATCAAACTAGTTTTCATCCATAATAATTGTGTTTCAGTAACAATGTAGGAACGAAGCGATATAAAAGACTTTGGAGATACACCTTGTACTCTGATTTTTCATACAAGTTCTATACTTCAATCGTCAATAGTCTTCTAATATTGAGACAAATATATCTCTGCATTTTTTTATGGTATTTTTAAAAATAATGTAGTTTTCTTTCATTTCGAGTCTAAATTGAAAGAAATCTATCAATATGGAACTAGTATCTATTATTGTAGTATAAAATTTGTAGTATAAAACTTGCTTCTATGTAAATAATTATTCCTGCTTTAATCTTTGACTGCAATTCAGAGAGATGAGAGTTTCTACTTACATTAAAAATTTCAACAAATCATTGACTATATCGTATCGTTAATTAATTTTTATAATATAATTATCTAATCTGAAATGCAAATTATTGCAGAAATATAATTAAATTTCACAACTAGTATGACTATTCCGAAATTTATCGTCATCACACTTTTGATTAAATTCTATAAAACTTACACCGTTTAATTTTACGCTTGATAACAAGTTCATCGTCCTCGTCAAATTACACGGTAGACCAGTATATACAAGTTTTTTTTTTCAATCGTTTAACAAGCTTTTCTCTAAACTACTAAAAGTGTTTAATAGCACGTAATCAGGCTTAATAATATATAATTAATCATGATTTCATTAACGAAAAACCACTTGTGATACCAGTCGTGCAACCACGAAGTATTATTTTGTTCCTTATCGTGAAATACCTGTCCCTATTTACCATGTCCGCATTTTTGCCATTAAACGAAAAATGAAATGATGATGACTTCTATTTACTGAAATTAACTTTTTTTATACGAAGTGGCACGTTAATTTTTTTATTATTTTACCAACTAATACATAGATAATAATTACTATTATGTCAAAACTCTAAGAAAATATAGCAATGTGAGACAACAAACTTCGGGTGAGATGGTTCAATCTCATTAGTTATTAAATGTTAATTTTTAATTGTACCTATATTGTATCTTGATCACAAACCATATTCCCATTCTTTTTATCTGTTTTTATTTGACAAATAAGCCAAGTTGACAGATAGCCAGTTATATAATGTGTATAATTGCCTAGTCTCAAAAATTCCTAGTCTCAAAATATCCTTTAAATATATTTTTTTAAATGTCGATTATATTTAAGATGTACTAATTCTTTTAAAAATAGTAGGCTATCACTCCCCGACTTACTCTATATTCCTTTGTCGAAATCCTTTAAAATTTTGGTTAATTTTTAAGATGTTAAGATGTATTAAATTAATATCAACAGATATATCACTCGCTCATTATAATAAGACTTGGAATACTAAAGCTCCGGCATAAACGAGAAATTCAAATTTCGCACAAAGGCGAATAATCTTAATTTCTATTCGCTTGTGTCACATAAGAATAACGTTTGTTATTTAATTCAATACAATTTTATTCGATTTACACGCACGATCATCTCGATCACGATATCGGTGGACTTATTAATAGGATTAATTCCAGGGTCGGTGAACTACCCTCATTGCCTTCGTTTGATCGCTTTGTACGCATCGTACAACTGCCCAGCTAACTAATGCATCGTATTATATCGAAGACTATACGTATTCATCTTAACGGCACTTTCATTCAATCCGTCGCCGCGGTATTAGATAGACGTGCAGAAATTACACGCTTTACACGACACAATATTAGTACTGCCCACTATAATTAATACCTCTCCAATACACTTATATCTGTACACCTTGGTACGTACGTATGTATACTTTCTCATAATCATGACACAATGATACGTGCTTTTTCGTTGCTTTCAAGTTTGGCTAGGTTGTACGATTAAATCAAGAATTCGATTAGTATTATAGATAATCACAAAGCAAGAGATTGTAGCGATACTGGAGGCTATTCTGACAGTACAATGCAAATTTATTCGCTAATAACACGCTTGACACAAGCTGAATACTTTTATAGAGAAAAAAATTTTCCAGTTCGTTCATTCGTCCGATTTTATATGAATAAAGAGAAACTCAATATGACATTTAAGATATTTTTAAGATATTAAAAGACATCTTAAAGTGATTTAAGAAGATATTAACAAGTATATTAGAAACTGTGAACGAAAAAAAAGTTTCTAACAGTAATGCTCTACTTATACGTACATATATTTATATTTCCTTTCACTCCATATTTATATTTCAAATTCGATATCGAAAGAAGAAAATCGTATTTCGCTAATCGATTACGGAGCGTTAACTAAATACAGCTCATTTCGTGCAATTGCTGTCTACAATTTTATCGACAGCGCCACCAAAGCAGTGTCGCGCGCGACGAATTAAAAAATTGAGATAAAAAAATTTTTAGGTTACCTGATTTCCCGACTCTGGGGCCGCCGAGGACGACCACCCTGATCCTGTTCACGTTTGTCATCAGACGTAGATGTTAGGTGTTATTCGAACCCCGCTTGCACATCATACACTATCCGATTAACACTGTTCGTATTGCTTTTCACTCGATCTGTAGTTTCTATCGAGTCAAGGTTCATTCACATTACGCGTATGCAGGACGAAAAATATTGCAAATAAATGTTTACAGACACGAAGAACACGTCATCAAGCAACTCTCGAAAAGTGTAATATTTGTTCACAGATAAAAAAATACCGTGTCTAATCTTTGTCTCGACCTTCACGAAGTAACGCGAGCATTTCCTTGTATACTTATAACGAGTCAACAAAAATCGAAGGCTCCAAGAAACGAAGATTGGTCGTCTGGTTTGTACACCTCAGTTCCACTATCTTTGTACGAAGTTTCTGTTTATTCACAAAGCAATCGATGACGCTCGATTGCTCGCAACTCGTAGCACGTCCACTAATCACGTTCAAACCGCAGGGACAACTTCACACAGCATAGGTTGAAAACGCAGCATTCATTCCAAGCACGCGCTCGCTCCCCAATGGTGCGATAAAACGGAGTTGAGTAAGAGCAACCTTTTTAAGACACATCGACGACACATCGATCTTTCGAAACGTCGCTCTCGAATGCGATTCACTGGCTCGACTGCGATTTACAATCTTCACGCGGTCTCAAATTGTGACAGCCAATTTAAACGAGTATGCAACCACGAAACCGAGAGAGCTGCCGTATATTATCGGCCGAGCAACAGATAAAACACGATCTCTGAATTTCCTTCGCTCATCGCCGTCTACGAACTTCCAGGATCCTGCACCGTACGTCGCCACGAGCATCCCTCGAAATTTCGACTTTTTCGCGCTCGCTTGAAGCGTGGCGATGATGAACAACGTTCGTCGAGAGTCTCCTACTGAGACGTTGTTGTTGGCCGCTGGACAGTCAAACAAAAAAATGCCACTTTCTGTCCCTCGATTTCTCTCCTTTTTCCTTTCGAAAACTTCACTTTCCACGGGCTACCGCGACGTTACTGCATCTTCTGGACCACGGCGACAATAATTTTGGCGGACGTGCAGATTCCGGTCACACCGCGAGCAAACATGCGGGCCAGTGCGCTGACACGCTGCGAATAATAACAGAAGAAACGATTCAAGAAATGCTGCCTTGCTAGTTCCATTTATAACGGGTCGACGGCCTCCCTCCTCATCTCTCTTCTCGCTTGGCGCCGCCAACGTCGGGCTCTCGTCCGGATTACGAAAAAAAGACTAGAAGGCGCGCGCGCGCGCGCGCCACTGCCAACAGCGGAGCAACACTCACGCTCCCTCGACGGACAGACGAATACTGGAAGCGAGAGGCGCGCAGAACTAAACTTCAAGCACCGCCCACGTGCTCTCCTCGACGCAATTCCGTCGTCGCGCCGCTCGAATTTCTTTTCCCTCGTTTTTCTTTTTTCTTTCACCGAATTTTTCCAGCGCGTACCTTTTCCTCCTTTCTTTTTTTCCCCTTTTTCTCTCTCTCCGTTTCTGTTTTTCTCTGTACTAAGGACACAAAAACCAGCGGACAAATCACCGTTTCGCGCGTAAATGCTGCTTGGAATCGCGTTAGAATTCTACGGAACCTGTTGTCGTGCATAAGAATCGCGCGCGCGGTATTTTCAGATCAGGAGAAACACACCGCGCGTTCGTCGGAATTATTTTCACGAGACTGCGAGATTTCGCGTCGACCCCATAAAATCGTGTCGAGCATCAATTTACGTTTCGTTTCTTTGCCGATTTAAGTCACGTTCAGATTAGATAACACGCTTTGGCGTCCGTCGTACAAACCGCGAGTACGAAACGACGATCTTTTTCATCCAGAGATCAAGCGATCGAATAATCGTGAATACTTCATACGCCTGAATTTATCGTATTTCAGTATTTACATATTTGTTTATTTCAGTATTTACATATCGAGTGCGCGCGCACACTTCTCAGCGTTTCCTTTACAAACAATCCGTACACCGACTGAGCTCGCTTAGCCAGATTTCAAATATTTTATCGCCGAATTATTTTAGCTCCTTTACGAAGCCCGTTCGATGACAGATGCCCACGGTCTTACGACGCACTTCAAGCGAGAAGAGATTCGTCTTCAGCATGCAAACGCTATCTTGAATTACATTTTCAAGATATAATTGAACAGTAACGGAGTACCATTAAATTGTCTATTGGCACAACCTCCAGAAGGTCGAGTAAAAAGTCGACTAAATATTAATCAGTGAACAGATGTTACACGTATTTACATACTTCGTGTTGACGACAATTGCCACCTGATACAATTTGATACAGAATGTAGGAAAATTCGCATGAATAAATACCTGGTATTCCACTTGTGACAACAAATTTACTCGACGAAGAATTTCACAATTTGATCGACTAAAATTGTGGTTCACCGTTGTTCGTGTAGGATTCTTTATCGTGCTAATGATACGCGCGACGAGACAAGGGAAAATTCACTGATGAAAGTATACGCGAATGAAAGCGAGCGACGATACGTGACAATGTGCGACAAAATATCTCTACACCGAACTCACCGAGCGCTCGCCGGCGAATGCTCGTGTCGAGGCGCCTCGCACTGTCTAATATGCACTCTCCAGCGTGCCCGCTGCATGCTTCGACCACGGCATGGCGTACTGCTTCACGCTACAAGATGACTGCCGTGTTAACAGGTAAGCGGAGACCGATGCCCGAGCGTTAGTATGCAAGCGCGTGTCCGCCAATACAGGTAACTACGCAGGCGCTTACTCATATGGCTACGACAATTTTTTTTCTACTTCGAATTGTCATGTTCGCATTATCAATTTGAATGGAAACGACTCCTTATCAAGGGTAATTTGAAAAAGATTTTGCAGTATTATTGTTTTCATCGCTATTGGCGTGTTACGTAAAATACAATTATTATGACATATGTATCATGATGTATATTATATAAAGCTTTAAGGCATTTATTGAAGTTAACTGTAATTGGCAGACACCTACAAATCTAATTTCGTTATGTTATCAAGATTTTGAAACATAAAAATACACTTTACATAAATAAAATTTCAAAGATTAAAAATATTAAATAGTTTCCTTACTTGTCTATTCTATTATTTGTACTAGGATTTTAAATTGAAATGATAGAACAGGTACTAAATGGTGTATTTATAAATGATCAAATAAACATACTATATGTACATACATACGTAAAGTGTTGTATATTCATCTTTCGTTGGAAACGCATCATAAAGAAGATTCCCTGTGTTATCGATTGAGCCTGATACACGTACCGCGTGGATAAACTATATAAAACTAAGAATTTAGTATGTGTGTGCCCATAGCAACGCAACTAATTAGGTTCTAACAGAGGTATATTTTTTCCAACGAATAGTATTTTATCTGGTATCATGGTCGAGACTAATAAAGACGTGGTTCGTAACGCGAAAATCGGACAGAAATCATTGCTCGAAAGATATGATATACCGGTCGAGCATCTTTCGTATGAATACATTTCTGAATGTACGAACGCAAAAAAGTTGGAGCGCATAGTAACTATACTGCGGTAAGTAGAAATTATAAATCGGCGGGGTTTTCAAAAGCTGCATCTTACTGAATCCCTGTTTGTATGCTTAATTTCTAATATGGTTAGTTTTAAATATGTTTTTATGTATGTAATTTGTTAATACAATGCAACATGTTTAATATTTTTATTATATTATATTGACAGTTCCGGTGAGGAAGGATATTATCCAGATTTAACAAAGCATGCAGAGAACCGCTTGTGTGTTATTAAGCCAACTAGTATAATCTTAAGAAAATCAGAACCCATTCTGAAACGTAATATGTTAAAACCAAACGAATCTAAGGAAATCGATAAAGATATTAATGATTGGATGTCTGAAATGCAAATTCGAGAAAAAGACTTAGAGGAAGGGAAAGCTGCGATACTAGACTCTCCCGTCACACCGGATATTCGGCAATTTAAAGAAGAATCTGTAAAAGTATAGCCTTCTCGTTATATTATTTTAATATCAATTCAAGATCAACGCGTGTAATTTCACTAAAAACATTTCTATTTTGTTTCTTTTAATTTAATTAGAAAAATTCAATAACAAACTCGAAAAATAGTAAAAACAAACGGATTCGCTCATGTGATTACGCTGCTTGGGATAAGTATGACGTTGATACCGAATTAAACAAAATAGATATACAAGATGAACAACAAAAGGCTGAAATAAAAAGACTGCAACAGAATCAGAAAGAAATTGTTCAGAAAAAAAAATTGGAGAAACATACAATTATTAATAAATGTATGTATTCACTTTTATGTTGAATTACATTTATAGATTACATTTGTGAATTACATTTTTATGTAAAACCAAATCATCTATATATTTAAGACAATATATGAAAAGAATAAAAAGTGAAAATATGATGTTATTAGCGACATTGACAGGAACTGAATTGGACGTGATGGCAGAACAGGAAAGGGAGAAGGGAAACGAGGCTTTCAGAGCTGGAGATTATAAAGAAGCGTTGGAGCATTACAACACTAGCATAAAAATGAATTCAAATATAATTACATACAACAATCGCGCGATAACGTGTAAGAAAATTAATTTCATTTATCTTGTTAAAAAAAAATTCGGTCGAATTCAGTTATATTTTTTCAGACATTAAACTTCAACGTTACGACGATGCTCTTAATGATTGTAACGTAGTACTTAGCGTAGAATATACGAATATTAAAGCACTTCTTCGTCGAGCTGTAAGTTTAGACCATCTTGGAAAATCATCTCAGGTATTCAAATATACATATATGTATCTGTATACTTTTTCTCTAAATATAAAAGCTTTTATTAAACAAAAGTACATATAATTACTAGGCATTGGTAGATTACGAAGCTGCTTTGAAAGTAGAACCAAATAACGCAATAGCGATTGCCGGAGTGAAAAAATTAAGGAAACCTTGCGAATCTAAAAAGATAAGGTATAATAAAAAAAATATATGTATATATATATATATCTTTTTTTTTAATCGTTAGAATTAACATTATTTAATTTTGATATTCTTAGAATGACTATCAAAGAAGGAAAAACGGAGAATATGAATAGAAAACCAACGTCAAATGAAATTGAAGAAATAAAAAGTTACATTCCACAATTTGGCTCAAAATTGAATTTGTCAAGTAGTATATGTTATTGTGACAAAGCACCAGGTCCGTCACAAAATTTAAAACCGAGACCACATATTAAAGCTGAGTATTGTCTTGAGAACGATGACATAATGACAACAGTTAAAAGTTCAAAAATATCTGAAATTGTTCAGAATGTGAGCACTGAAGATTTAGTTTCTCCTCCTAATAATTGCTCTTCCAATGTATCTAAAGTAACTCAAGAAAAAAGTAATTCTACTTCAGCCATGAAACAGAAATCAATTTTTTCATTTACGAGACCTCCTGCACGAACTAATTCAGTTGTTATTGAAGAATTACCTAATGAATTTAATAACAATAATGCGAATGTTAAAACCAAATCGAATAAAACGGTTGCAAATAAAAGTAAATTCGATGCTGAAGTCGCAAATAAAAATATGTCTAATAAACAAGTTAGAACATCGGATACTAAAAATCTTAATAAAAATAGTGAGCAAAGTGACAATTTGAACAATAAATGTTACAAGATGTCACCTAGAAAGGTAAAAGTAGCGGATAAATATAAAAATAAAACTAGCAAATCGGAGAAATATATTTCAAAGGTATATAACTAATAATGAAAAAGAAAAAAATTAGTTACGTGATAAACATGTTAATGTGACATATTTTCAGGATTTTGATAATATCGAAAACGGGTACGAATTTATGCGCATATGGCGATCATTGAAAAATGACACTGACTTAGAAGTATATGCTCAATTGCTAAGATCATTAGACACCAATAAATTAAGTTCAAGTTTGTATCTTGTAGTAAAATACAGTACGTATGTACAATTTTTATTATAAGGAAATATTGTAGTTTTAGGTAATGAATTGGATGGAAACATGTTCAGTATCATTTTACATTGTTTGGAACGGCATTTTTGTACATCCAACGACACGGAGCTTCTGAATAACTTTTTGACATCACTCTGCCAAGTAAAACGTTTTTCAATTGTGAATATGTTTATGAGCAATGAAGACAAACAAGGTACTCACAACGAAAATTTGAAATCGTATACGAAAATATAGTATTTACGTCATTGTTATTACACATACCTTTATTTTATAGTTGTCAGAAACATACTCAATTTCTTACAAGAACATGGGATATCAGGAATTTCATCACTGCGACAAATTTATTGCATTTAAGAATATTGCGCGTGTTCGCACTTTTAAGATATTTTGAATTTTATAGTGACATTTCAACAATGAGTACCAACTTTATATGTTCTAGTAATAATACATAAGGAAATACACTATGATGATATTGTTGTCTAATTTTATCAATGATTATACACAATTAAAGTGAATTATTTTCAATTGAATAGAACATTACTTAAACATCAAAATTCTTAATTTTTCAATTTGATTTACACTTCACTTGATGAATTTTTTAAACGATTTGTTAATTATTTCTACAACTTACGCGTTCTATTTCTGTCACTTGAGGTTTTAATTTCTTCTTCGTTAAATAGGTATGAAATTATACAATACACGTGTAGTATTAGCAAAGTGAACTGGTGAACTCTTTTCTTTTTTCCAATTCCCTGTATCAATGTTTCCTATGTATTTTCGGGTATTGCACAACGATGGCAGCACATGTATGCACCTAAGCGAGTGCGCACTCTGGCTTTGTTCCGACATCCGGACTCCGTGACTTTAGCGCTTCGTCAGTTGCGTACTCTTCCGTTCAAGCAGCTTATGACATTTTTTTCTGTTACTACAAGATGTTTACTTGGATGAGCCGTGCGAATTTTGACGAGGATCCCGATAATTCCGCGTGCAAAGCCGCCATGAAACTGCTAAGGAGACAACAGTAACTGGAAGGTACGTGATCCGGCGTGGTTACGGGCGGCCCGGGTATGTTTATAGCCTGCAAACTCTGACATAGCAATGGCGTACTGTCGCCGTAAAGGCCGTGCCAACAAAATTCTCCCCTGCCTTATTTAGCCTAAGTTAAGTGTGCACGCGGGAAACCGACACTAAAACGAGGTTTTGTTTGTGATGATACCGCTGATAGTGACAAGAAGAGTTCGTGATTTTTGGTGATGAAAAGTGGCGTTTTTCGGTGATTATAGTGCCTCGGTTTTCCCCACTGTGGAATGATCGCCGATTGTCGAGCGGCACGCCATCCTGCTGTAGCTGACTGAGGTCCATACTATAAAGAGATTAAAAACTATGTGAGTTCGAGCCAAACACGAACCAATGTTTTTATTAACAGTGAAATACAGTTTTAAACGAGACAGATATTTTTCTACGGAAAAAATATATGTTACTATAGTTGTAATTTATGATACGACCATAGGAATAACCATTGACACGTAAGAAAAATGATTGATGTGTTTTGCACATTACTCGTGCACGGATTATCGGTAACAATTGTAACGAAACATGAAAGTTTTCATTTATAAATTGCTTTTCTAGAGTTTCGATGAACAAAAATTGGACGGCAGTTTGACTAATCGTTCCGATGAATGTTACGTGGTTTGTGCTCAAGACTTATTCGTGTAATATATACCTTTTTACCAAAACACCAGACATTTATAGTGAAAACATTTGTAAAAATGATTTCAATTGTAATCGGTTATTAATCGAAAGATCGCGATTTATTTGGTGTTAGTTTTGAATAATTTAGAGGTTTGTTTGTTATGTTCAGGAGGATGTATTTATTTGCAAGTTCATTTTCTGTCATGTAACTGCATATTTTACATTTAATTCGTGAATTTCAATGTGTTTAAATGTGACACTTTATTTTAAAATATATAGTTTAAAGTTGCAATGTAGTCAAGGTCAAAGATAGTCTGTATGTTACAAGTAACGTGACATTTATGTATTTCAGTTTTTTCTGATAAATTTTTTAAAATATTATTATAATTATTATGTTTATAACACATATAATTTATATATGCTTTTACCTATTTTGTATCACTGTCATGTGTATATATAAAATTTATCTATAATATAATTGTTACGAATATATATTCAATAGTTCAACACATGTAAAAAATTTAAAGACTTTCAAGGAAATATTTATATCATATTATAATATAGATATATATTTAAAACATGAATAATTAGCTTTTGATTTATCATTTACACATACAGGACTACATAGCAACACAGGTCTAGTAGAGGTGCCATGGATGATGAAGAGCGTCTTGAGGGCGATGAAGAAATGGAACTAGATGAAGCCTCTGATGGTGAAGATGAAGATGAAGAAGCAACAGGAATTCCTGTATCACCGGCAAATTCAGATCATTTACTTGGCCATGCACCAACAACTCCTGGTAACAGTGAGTATATGCTTTCAGTACATTTTAATAAATTTGTGCTACCAATGGTTTACATCACATCACATTTCAATATGTAATGTCATTGTAAAAATTATATATCATTTCAGAGGAAGCACAAAAGTTTGTTTCTCTTGCAGTAACCCCAGATGAAGCTTTTCATGATCCTTTAAGGTACCAGAAATTTCCACTCCCTGGAGGTAAACCTCTGAATATTAGGCGGGGTCCAGGTAGACCTAGAAAAGAACGTCCACCTGGAATTACACGTGGTGGAGGTACTCGTAGACCTTTCGGAAGAGGGACTACTAGAGGGAAAGGGTTTGTATTTTTTTTTTTTTTTTTTTTTAGTTAACATCCATAAATATAACTTTTTATATAACATTTATTTATTTTTTTTTAGTCTTGGATATGCAAGAGGTATACCGCGCCGTACTAAAAGCAAAGATGATGATACACATTCAGAATCCCCAAGTCCTCTTCGTCTTGGTGAGGATGTTACTCCTGATGGAGAGACATCTAACACTGAAAGATGCATGCCAGCACCAGAAGAACCACCATATTTTCCAGAACAATGGTAAAAATATTTAATGTTTTATATCTCTAGAGTAATTGAAATTATAAATAATAGCTATTTAATTTTCTAGGCCAGGGAAAGTATGTGCTTTATGTAATTTGGGTGAAAGAAGTCAATTAGGTCAGGGTGAGTTGCTAAGATTTACCTGTCCTGAAGGTTTCACTCCTGAAAAGTCAACTAATCGTGATGAAACAACTGATCATCTCGTTGATATATCTACCGGAGACAAAAGTCCGCGTGCAGCTGGTCCTGGTGCTGTGACTTGTCGTAGGCAAAAGAGTCTAGCTAAGTGCAGGTATTTAAGAGTTGCAACCAATTATTATAAAGTTATTTTATGTTATGATAATCAAATTATTTTTTATAGGAATACTAGTCTAACAAATTTTTCGGAACCAGTGGAAGAGTTAACTATAGTGGGATATTCGGAAGAACCGGAAATAGGAACGTTATTTGAGTCAACTGGGCACTATTACGTTCATCAGTCTTGTGCAGTATGGTCAAGCAACACCCAAGAATTAACAACGGAATTATTGAGTCCAGCGATAGTACAAGCTTCATCGAGACGTTGTGCTTATTGTTCTCATTATGGAGCTGGAATTCCTTGCAAAGTCGGTGTTTATCCTTTTATACATTTTTTAAAAACTTTTTTTGTGCAAATATAAATAATTCTACGTCGTATCATAATATACTTTTCTTTTTTTTTTTTTTTATTAAATAGGTGGCATCGTGCAATCGTTATTTTCATTTACCATGTGCTGCAGCCTCAAGTTGTTTTCAGGATACAAAGAGTTTGTCTCTCTTTTGTAGTCAACATTTAGGACAAGTTCCACTTTTATGTAAGTGCTATGCAATAGTAAAATTTGTGTACAATATGTATAGTATTTGTATAAAATATTTATGCAGATGTATATTTTCATATATTCTGTTTTCTAGTAAACGGTGATGTTACTTGTATGCACTGCTGTGGAATGGGAGATGTTTCCAACCTAGTAATGTGTTCCATTTGCGGCCAACACTATCACGGTAGTTGTGTTGGTCTAGCATTACTACCTGGTGTACGAGCTGGTTGGCAATGTGTATCCTGCAGAGTATGTCAAGTGTGCCGTCAACCAGAAGATGTTTCAAAAGTAATGTTGTGTGAACGTTGTGAGAAAGCGTATCATCCCGGTTGTTTACGACCAATTGTTACATCTATACCTAAATATGGTTGGAAGTGTAAGTGCTGCCGTGTATGTACAGACTGTGGTTCTCGTACACCAGGTGCTGGTCTTTCATCACGGTGGCATTCCCATTACACTGTATGTGATTCGTGTTACCAACAAAGGAACAAAGGTTTTTCGTGTCCTCTTTGTAGAAAGGCATATCGGGCTGCCGCGTATAGAGAAATGGTTCAATGTAGTGCATGTAAAAAATTTGTTCATGGTACCTGTGACCCTGAGGCTGATCCATTAACTTACCAACATCGTAAAGACGTTAAACCTGACTATGAATATGTTTGTTTACACTGCAAAAATATGGCACTTGTGAAAAGAAAAGATAATATTGATGATTATGGTGGGGATTTGAGTTTAAGTGTATCGCAAGAAAGTCTGTATGGTGATGGAGATTCGTCAGAATTTGATTATCAAGGAGGATCAGAGGAAGCACTGTATTCTATAGGTCTTGGAAAAGGAAAACCATTCTGTGCATCTAAAATTGCAAAGAAGCGATTAGGACTAGGCGGTGGAATTATTGGGCGGCCAAAAGGAATTGGTAAACTTGGATATCAAAAGCGACAAAAGATGACAGAATTTGGAAGGAAAAGAGGTCCCAAAGCAAAAATGAGGGGTATTTTTGGTGTACCTGGTGTAGGATTGCAGGTATGATTCTCTTAAAACGTTTCTCTTTTAAAAATGTTATAATGTTATTGTTGATTAACCATTTATTAATTATTTCAGAGACCAATGTCAGATTCATTTTCAAAGGAAGATGAACCAGGCATTGAAAATAGACTTGTATTATGTTCTGCAAAAGATAAATTTGTATTGACCCAAGATATTTGTGTAATGTGTGGTGCAATTGGCACTGACCAAGAGGGGTGTTTAATTGCTTGTGCACAATGTGGTCAATGCTATCACCCTTATTGCGCTAATGTCAAAGTTACTAAAGTAATATTGCAAAAGGGTTGGCGGTGCCTTGATTGTACAGTATGCGAAGGTTGTGGTGAAAGAAATGACGAGGGTCGTTTGATTTTGTGTGATGATTGTGATATCAGTTATCATATTTACTGTATGGATCCACCACTGGATTATGTGCCACATGGTACATGGAAGTGTAAATGGTGTGCACATTGCCAAACATGTGGTTCAAATGATCCAGGATTCAATAGTAGTTGGCAAAAAAATTATACGCAGTGTGGCCCTTGTGCATCTCATACTGCCTGCATATCATGTCAAGAAGCATATAATGAAGGAGATCTAATAATACAATGCATTCAATGCGAGAGATGGTTGCATTGCACATGTGACTCGATTAAAAGTGAAGCAGAAGCTGAGAAATGCGCCGAGGAAGGCTATATTTGTATACTTTGTCGTCCAAGAGATGTTCCACCGCCTCATCTTTTATGTAATCAACCTAAACCACAACCAAATAAATATCCCCGCTCTCCGCCACCTACATCACGCAGTCCTGAACTCTACAAACCTTCTCCTCAACAATACTTGGTTGACGGTGTTTATCTATCTGAAGCTGGTATGAATCATATAAAGTCATTAACATCAGAACATCAACAGACAAGAAAGAAAAGGAGAAAAATGCATCCTTTAATTGACAAAGAAGCAGATATAATGGCTACTATAGAATCTGTAGTTGCCGGTGGAAGTTTAGATAATTCTCTAGAAGAAAATGGAGGAAAAATGGATTTAACAGACGTTAAGGATGAACCTGCGGAGGTACTCAAAGAAGGCATGGTATGGACACCACGTGGTGATCAGCCACCACCAGAAGGTTTTAGTATTTATACGACTGAAAACGGTATACCAATTTTAAGACGGAAACGTCAGCGTAATTTACAAAAATTAGGCATCGGAGGTTTTATCGTTAGACTAAGAGGCACTCGTAAAGATAAAGAGGAAGATGGAGATCCAGAAAAACCATCAGATTCCACGGTTGGCATGAACGATGATAAACCACGCAGGAAACCACAGAGAAGAAAGCCAAAAACGAAACTTTCTGAATGTTTCCCTCTTTACATGCAAGAGGCGTTTTTTGGTAAAGATCTTATGGATACGACCAAAGACAAGGAATTGGAAAGTAGCAGTGAATCAGATAGTGAGCGAAATGTATCAGGCAATGCGGATACCATTCAGTTGTCTCAAGACGAGTTGAAAGCAATGGAGCAAGTCAAAGCTAAACAAGAGAAAGAAGAAGAGAAACCGCCTCCAGAAGCACCCATAAAACGTGAAGAAATTGTAGATGACGAAGGTAGTGATACTGAAGCATTAGGTGACATTTTACCTATTTCAGGTGACTTACTTGATAGCGATCTTGTTAATACTATAATGAACGAACCAGATGAAGACTTAGCTAAAGCTAGCGAAGCGTTAGATGAATTGGATGACACACCTGGAACAACTAAAGATGAATTGACAGATATTCTTAGTCCACATTTTAATTTGGAATCGATGGTCCGAGATACAGGCAAGTTATTATTTTTTAATTTTAAGTTTCTAAAATTATAAAATAATGACATGAATTAATAATGATTATCTATATTTTCATTAGGTCTACCTAACATGGACAGTAAAGATATTGAAGAAATATTCAAGGGCGTTCTAACTGATGAATCTCAAGAATCTCAAGAATCGTCAGTTTTCCCTGTTCAAACTCAACCTCCACACCCTGCACCTTCAACCACACCACTTGTATCTCCTTCGCCACATCCTGGTAAATTAATGATTTTTATATTTATTATTTATGTAAATTAATTTATATTTAAAGAACATGTTTTATATTGCATTTAAATATAATTGTAGGTATACAAACAACAATGCCTCCAACAATACCAAGACCTCAAGTACCTGGTGCATTACCTCCTGTTCAATCTAATCTGAATTCTCCAATGAGTTTTCCACCGCCGTCTCCATATCATTCTGAATATAGCAAGTACGTTTATACTTATATATATAAAGGAAATTTTAATTATTTGCTTTTATTTTTCACCATATAGTAGCCCACAATTTAGTCCAGCTTTCTCTGAACCACCGAGTCCATGGGTCAATCCTGATGATGAGGGTACCTCATCAGCAGGTAGCACTACAATTTCATACAACCAAAGAAGTAATCTTAAAATGGAAGCTGATGAAGCTTTAGGTCCAGGAGCAACTATATCTTCTGTACTTTATGCAAATATTAACCATCCAGAATGGAAAACAGAATATCCAGGTATATATTATTGTTATTATGAATTAACATAATTTTACTTATAATGTAAATTCGAATTAAAAATTTTTTTGATTATATTATTAAAGCTTGGTCAGAAAGATGTAAACAAATATTAAAGAAGTGGCGTGCATTGCCTAATGATAAGAAAGCTCCATATTTAACGCTGGCACGAGATAATAGAGCTGCAATTCGTATGAAAAAGACTCAACAGGTAGGAATTGTTTCTAAAATACTTATAATGATAAGTTAAGTGCTAGAAAATCGTGAATCTTTATGTGATACGTATCCATTATCATCTTGAAAGATGTCTTGTGCTAACATACAGGTCAAACTAACAGCTTGTCCTTTGTGTCCAATACCTGTACTTACAACTATTGAGGTTTCATTTACATGATCTGTTTAAAGAAGGGACTTGATAATATATAAATGTAAACATATAACCAATCACAATATAAAAGATTCATAAACAGCTATATTAATTTATATATTCCTTAAATTATTACATACTACATTAAAGTATACTTACTCTTTCATATTGGACATAATATGTGATTGCTTAATTAGCTCTATGTTAATTATCATCATAAGTATTATTACATTACCTAATTATACGCATATCGAAACACATTCTTTACTTACATTCTAAATTTAAATCGTCATTTTTCTAATATCCATATCTTCAGTCAGATCATGTTTCATTAGAAGCGTAGATGCTTAGGAATACAATTTTAAATCTAGCTTTTGCCCGATAGCGTCCCTTGAAATTCCTTAGAATCCTTTGAAGAATTGAATTTTACACTATTGGCTTTGTATGATGTATTTTCGAAATATGTAAACCATAAATACTATAATGTAAGTGTGTGAACGAGGCACCCCTTGAACCGACAGATATCCAAGGATATACCAAGCACGACCCCAGTCACTGCAACAAGTGCACCTACCATCATCACCAAACCTGTCACAACTATGACATCAGCTCAAGTTTCTCCAGTAGTAGCTATGGCCTCCAACCAAAAGCAGATTGGACTTTTGACCTCAGTGGGCAGTGAAAAGACACAAGAAAAGAATGGAATGACTGTGTCGACAACAGGAGTGACAGTGTCAACAGTTAGCAGTAATCATCATGCGGAGGTGTGTGCGGTGCAGGGACCGCCGAAGCAGCTAACATCTTCTTCCCCGAGTCCTTCTCCAACATCCACGACCCCTTCTTCTTCACCCAGGCCCAGTTCTGTGAATTCTATTAATTCCATTAACAGCCTGGCGCACCAAGAGATATCCGGTAGCCAGGCTAGAGTAGCTCAGTCGCCAGCCACGCCTTGCACATCAGCAACTGCTTCTTCTTACTGCAACACGGGCGCCGGTGAAGGGCAGCATCAAACGTCACCATCCCAGCAACGTCCTACACCTGCTCACATTACGATCAGTACCAGTACTATTGCTAATAGTCTGAGCATTTCTCAGGCATCCCCCACTACCAACGTTATGGTGGGGGTTGGTCCTGTTCGCCAATTATCCTCGGTAGACCACCAGATTAGAGTGCTCACCCCATCTGAAATCATGCGCACCCTTCCTTCCCTCAGCCAGGAGCACTACGATCCGCCACCCACTGCAATTATTCACACTGTACCTGTACAGTCCCCGGCCATGGTGAGCCACCTATTCTGTGCCTCTAGTGTCTTGCCTTGTGCCACGTGTCTGATCGACATTTAGTATCCCTTGTCCATTTTAGACCAGAATTAGAATTATTATTGTGTTATGCAACAGTGACATTTTAGTTATTTCTACGAAACCAAAGATCTGAAACACTTAAAAACCTCCAGAATATTCATATCATTAATGAATTATTGATATGATAAATGGTGTTTTAGGACACTGGTTTCATGAAACGTGCAATTTCATGCTGTCTTTGCATTTATCAAGATGTATTATATTTATTGAATATTATTTAGTTTTGATTGATCAGACACTTTTCATTATATATATATATATATATATATATATATATATATATTTTTTTTTCATTACAAATTTTTTATTAGATATTATTATGTTAGATTGTAATACTGTAAATATTTTATTTTGCATACTTTAGTACCTTATATGGCATGTTAAAGACAACTGGTAGCACATTATTTTCTTTTTTCCCTCATTCCTCATCATTTCACAAATATAGATTATACAAATATATTTTCCTTCCTTATTTATCCATATAAGTATATTGCTTTTTATGAGTTGTATTATAAGTTATTGGTAGATATTTGTTGTAATGTAGTATGTTATATCCCATATACAACAATATTATAATTAATTTTAGACTAACGTCTGTTGCTTTTTATATTTTCAGACGCTTATATTTTTAGTAGTATAAGCTGTTGTATTTACTGTTTTTATATGATATAATTATCATTATTTATTGATATTTAATAACTAATTAAATTTTTAGCTACTAACAGTATACTTAAAATATTATCAATTATATTTTAAATTTTGTTTCTATATAATTTTTATTATAAATATAGCAGATTCTTTTATTTTACTTAATATGCATCAAAAAAATTAATTTTGTATTTTTAATATATACAAAACATTTTTTTATATTCAGTGATTCGGTGCATGACAATTACTATAAATTAATTTAAGATAAATGTTTATGGGTGTTTTGTGTGATAAAGAATTTTTCATATAAATTTTTGATTGAACAATATTTATTTTAGATGGTGGCTGGTTATCATAATTATGTTGCACATACAGAAATATTAAAGTTTTGCTAATTATATTAATTTAGTAATACGCCATTACCTTATTTGAATGTTAAACTTAAAAGTACACTTTGGCTGATTGTCAGTTTGCCTCATCGTATATTTTATATTGCTTTAAAGAAAAAAACCGATCATTATATTCTGCATAGTATTTTTATTAATCTAATAATCGAATTACTTTGAAATAAAAAAATTAAATAAATCACATTATTGCATTTTAACAATAAATGCTGTAAGGATATAATGATCTTCTATTATAGTTAATTCTTTAGATCTAATAAAACTATTTTTAACAGGAACAGGAGAGACTTTCCAATAGAGATCGTTCCAGTAGAGAAGCTGAACAAGAACGTCAATGGAAACAACTACAAGCATTACGTCAACAACAAGCACAGATGCAGCAACAAGTTATTCACGAACAACGTGTGCATGGTATATAATATTCAATTATACATGTATTTATATAATGAAATACATATTAGAATTTACTTCTAACTTTATAATATTTCTTCAATAGCTATCAATAGAGTTCATAGACAAATAAGTGAAGATAACACGAATCAAATAAATGCTGACAATACTTCTGGACTAACAACACAATTACAAGTCTCCACATCACAGGTAGAATTTTAATTCATGACTATAAATAGAAATCGTAACATATTTTTGTAAATATTTGCAAAATGTCTTTTGTAGGATGGAAATCATATGGGACCATTAGCTTCACCATCTCCCGGTTCATGTAATACGTTTGCGACTCCTCCTGTGAAAGTTACACGTGGCTTAGCACCACAAAGCCCTCATCAGGGTATGCCACGTTTACCCACTCAACCTTGCACGACCATGACACGTCCAGTTGGGACTGTGGTTAGACCAGGAATGCCAAATAATTTTACACAACCGCCCTCTCCATTTTCTCCACAAGCACCACAGTCTCCTCATGATTTTCCACAGTCTCCAGCTTCATCGCAATCCCAGGAACATTTTCAACGTTTTGACAATACCGAAGCTTACTCCCAGGGTTCACAAACATCTAGGTCACAAATTAGTGGCACACCATCGTATTCCACATCGCCAAGAAGCGATGTTTTTTCTCAACCGCCAGGTACACCACGGCCTATGTTTAATGCCCCTACCACTCGTCCTTCTACTCATGTATATGCACCATCTCGTACACCTGATCCATACAGTAGCCAACCTCCCACTCCTTCTCCCGCTTCAAATTATTCTTCGCCGAGACCTGAATCTCGGCAAGATTCGCAACAGCCTGAAGTGTTCAATCAACAACCAGAAGTAAACAGGCAGTTACGAGATTTGTTGCAGAGACAACAGTTTAATAAAAAGATAGAACCTGTTAGCACTACATGGAATCAAGGTATCAATAATATAATGAAGATTAAAATATTTTTATTAAAATATAAGTTGTATGTACTTATTGTATTGCATGTATTAATTTGTAGATGGTCCAAATAATACAGAGAACAATCAACAACAATTTGATACGGGTCATGTACAACTTCCACAACATTCTCAAGCGGCAAGTAGTACTAGTGAAGGCACTTTCAGACATCCTCTACCACCTGGTATTGTCAGACCTAGGATGCCTATACAATCAAATGTTTTGATAAGAAATCAAATTGGTAAAATTTTCCGTTCTTTATTTTTTCTTATTATTATATGTTTAAAGAATATATTTAATATGTCCTATTTTATTGATACTATTTGACTTGTACTTAGGAATAAATTCGAGACATCCTGTAGCAGGAAATATAGATGCTAGGATACAAAATATAGATCCACGAACTAGAATGCTCCTGCAAAGACCGCAAGTAGCTGCGACTATACCTCAACAGCATTTTCAGGGAAATCAAACTTTGCAAACACGAGTGCCAGCTGCGAGAAACACTATTACAGAACCTTATGATGTTTTACAACAACAAAGATTTCCAGGTGAATATACGTTCTATATTTTTCTTATACAGATTATTATTTTTTATAATAAATATCTTATTTGCAGATCCCAATCAAGGGCAAAACATAACGCAACGAATAGTGCGAACGCCTCAAGATAATTTAAATCAGGGAATTAGAATGTTAGGTCAGCAAGGGGTTGGTATAAGAGCACCCTTGATACCAACAACAGTTAGTGAGGCCACCGTTAGTCCTTCTGAACCATCAGAAATTCCTGATAACGTCACCGCAGAGCTTGAAAAATTAGAACAAGAGGGAGCACCGATGGTTGAGGTCGAGGGCGTGAGTGCAATATTAGGAGACTTAGGCGATGACGACGATGAACTGCTTGGTAAATAAAGTGTCTAATCTTTAACTGATCATATTTTTCTAATTGTATAACGCGCAGAGTACAAATATAAATATAAACTCAAATACTTTGTCTCGTTGTAGCTGAAATGGGAGCAGATTTTAATATTTTGGAATACGCAGATCCAGAATTAGACAACATAACCGGTGGTGAGAAAACAAATATACTTGATTTAGATTTAGAGCAAGTTGAGGTAGAGACGAAGGACGAAAAACAAAAGAAGGAAGTTAAGGACGAGGAGCGAAAGTCGACAGAATTAGGCGCAACGAGTGCAGTGCATACTGACATAAGCGACACGTGTACGACAACTACTGTACAAACGCCGACAGAGACGTCTAATGTCCCAACACAAGCACAAACAGTAACACCTATTACCGCAACATCACAAACATCACAGCAACCATCTACGATTATGCCTCAATCACATGCTCAAGCTGTTGTTGTACAACAACAAATGCATCAGCACGTGCAGCAAGCCGCGGCAATGGGCCGGCCTATGCCTCCAGGGACTCGCTTGCTTTCGCCTGATGGAGCAGTTGGTGTTGTTACATCAACTAATACCGTTACGGTCAGTTATCCGTCCACATTCCCTGGACATCCTCAGAGAATACCGCAAACACATATTCAAGGTACACGTGCTTTTAAAATATATAATTACGCAGTTATACAAAATTTTAAGAAACTTATCTTTAATACAACTGATGTCATTTTGTCATTGCAGTATCACAACAGCAGCGCCTCAGTATGAGAGTAGCAAGTGTACCGAATGTGGCTGGCAGAGTGGTTGCGGTGAATCATATGATCGGCCCACGTATGCCTCTTGCACCACCGCCGCCACCACCTCCGCCTCCATATCCTGGACCACCGCCCCCTTATCCCGGACCTATACAGGTTTGTACATTTTACATATATTCTCGATGTTCTAATGTTTTTGCATCGCTTTAATCTTGAGTATTTTTTATGCAATTATATCTAATAACACTTTCTTCTAACCACGAGAATACTAAATATTTTGCAATTTGATAAGCAGTGATCGCTTCATCGAAAACATAACACGTATCATTAAAGATGTTTTTTACTTTCACGATAAGAAAATGAAATGATACAATTTTAATTTTTTTACATATAAATTCTCTTCTTGATTTATATACACGATACATTTCATTGTCAAACGTTTCTTAATATATACCCGCGGATGTTGTACTTTAAATGTCAAATAATCATTGTTGAATCTGTAATTTTGTAGCATTTTGAATTTCAATGTAATTGTGTAATATGAAGTATTCAGTTTTGTTAAATAACGAATGAGAGCAGGAGATCTCGAATTTGTTATGAACGTAGGATGTAGGCAAGTAATTTATTTAATATAAAAGTATTGGCTGGTAAAATGGTGTTTTCGCCTGGGTGTTTGCAATGCATTGGTGTTGGTGCATGTCTAGATGGGGCTGTGCCCAGGTGGGCGGGGTATGACGCGGCCCCCAGTCCATATAGGGCACCCAGTACCGGTGGCAGGTCCACCAATGGCCCCTGTGGTACATACTGGTACGCCCGCAATGACACCTCACCCTCACCGAAGACCCTTGCTTCTGCAGGTGAGCAAGACTTGGGGACTTTTCAACATTCAGCACAATGTATCACCTGCAACGATACCAAGATTTAAAGATTCTGTCATCTAGATTATTTTTAATATTTTTGCACCATTTTTATTTACCACTTTATATATTGTTTTTATTAAAAATTACTTAATAAATTTGATCAGAGAGAAAAATACGCCAGAAATGTGATCTGCGTGTTGTAGCATACAATTGATGATAGTAACCATAAATGAAACCCTATAAATAAAATAATAAATGTTATAAAAATAGTAGTTTATAATTTGTAGTTAGAAAATAGAGATTAAGGAATTTCATCCAACAGTTCTTGCATATTGAGTATACACTATTAATGAAGTATATTGCATTTTTATGTGTGCATGTATGTTTTGAATAGCAAAACACTAAGCTTCATCAAATTATATGTATTTTGCTTTATTATAATTATAATTTTATGTTTATTTATGTTTATTATATATATATATATATATATATATATATATATATATCATTTATTTTAATAATTGCTGTAGGAATAAAATATTTGCATGTGTGTATTTCTTTTTTAATTTTTTGGAATAATGAATGTGTCTCGTTTTAGTATGTAATTGCTCACTATATATATATCTATATGTGTATATATATATATATATATATATATATATATAATATGACATACGAATTTAGTATTTATCTAATTATATATCACTGTTTTAATTCACCAAAAGACATACATATTTCCATAATATTTCATTGACTATTTGGAGACTCGATAAGCTGTCAGTAGTGGTGTTCACAGGAACAACCATTACTGTTGGAGGAGTTGTTGGAACAAGAAAAGCGAGAACAAGAGAAACAACAGCAGCAGCAACAACAACAACAACAACAACAACAGCAGCAGCAGCAACAGCAAAACGACAATACAACTTCTGGAGGACCCCTTCTAAGTGACAGTGAGTTTGAACAATTTAAAGCAGATGTTTTAAGTTCTGCACCCCTTGCTTCTCCTCCACAAGGAATTACATCAGTACCTGGAGGAGTTCCTGTAATTAGGCCACCTAGTACATCAAGTCCACCATCCGCTCCAGGTACCAGTTGGCAGCAAGCAGTACCGGATGCGACGAAACTAGCAGCTCAAGTGCCTAGACAGCCAATTGCAACTCAAACACCACCGGAACGTTAGTATCATTTTTTGCTATTTAAATAACAATTTATGATTAGACTGCAAGTTTTTGTAATTTTTATAAATATATCTAAATACATAGAATCTAAATAGAAATTTATTTTATTTACTACATTGTATCATTTTATATAATAATATTTTTATTTTTTCTCTTTGCGCATAATGTACATTATGTGCATTTTTACAATCTTCAGTTTCTCATAAAAGCACAAAAATACAAAATATAGTTATGATTGTAAAATTTCTTTGTTACAGCAAGGGTTGCTACATTCAATATCTCTCAGATTCCTGCGCCGCCCACACCACCGGAGAATATCGTGAACGAACAGGACCGCCAAATACAACTGCAGTACGAGCAATGGCTGAACCATCAGCATCAAGTGTTGACACAGCAGTTGAAGTATTACGAAACTGAGGTACAAAAGCTGCGTAAAATACGAAAAGTAAGGATAGAATGTTTTTATGTTGCTGCGTTTTCGTTTTTGTAACGCTCTGTACGATATAGGCTTGCTACAGTTAAATGATCCCGATTTTACAGTCTCTCAATAGCAAACAACGACAACTGCGAAAATCTGGGAACGAATTGGCAGAGAACGACGCGGCGGAGCTACAACGCATTTCCAGCGAGCAAGCAATATTGCAAAAACATCTAGATGCAAGTCGTAAACAGACTCGTCAGCATGGCATGCTGATACAAGAATATCACAGTAAACAGCAACAGAGACAGCCTCAACAAACAAGTGAACCATGTTCACCGTTGATGTCGCCTTCCCAACATTCACCAATGCACAGCCCTGCCGCGCTTGTTTCTCAAAGTCCGGGCCCTGGAAATGTCCCAGCGAACATGATACAGCATTCACCGGCAACTCCTATCATTCAGCATAGTCCCAATACACCTTTGTTACAACACAGTCCTGGTAATCCACAGTCTGGAAATCCAGGGACGATGTCACCACATAATATGCAACAATCTCCCAGAATTAGTACTCCACATTCACAAAACGAAGAAAGCCCCTTCAGTCCTGGCGCCATGCCATCGCCAGGAATATGTGGTCCTTCGGCAACTCGGATGACGTCTCCGCAGCATCGTGCGATTATTAGTGGAAGACTCGCAACTAGTCCAGGTGCTTTTACTCCTGATGCGCGAAATACGCAACAAATTATCGGTGATCAAGGAGTCAGAGTTCACGGACTTACTCAACGCTTTGTCCGTCCACCCGCCGTAGGAGAACCTGGGCAGAGACCTAGGATGCAGTTGCAAGGAGGAATCGTATATGGACAACGTTCTCCTCTTGGAAGTCCGCAACCTAACCAACAATCTTTAATGAATCAACAGCATCAACAAATGCTTCAGAGACAACAGATCATTCAACAGCAACACGAGACAACTGCGATTCTCCAAGATGGGCAGAACGCGATGACTCAGCGTACCTTGCAGATGGCACAACAGAGACAACAGTTATTGCAACAGCAACAGCAGCAGCAACAAATGGCTCAACAACAGAGGCAGCAGTTTCTACAAATGCAGCAACAGCAGCAGCAGCAACAACAACAACAACAACAACAACAACAACAACAACATACGATGCAGAAACCACCAAGCTCTCCAATGGTATCTCAACCTGCTAACTCTCCGAGTCCTCAACTTCATCAACAAATGCAACAGAATTATGGACAACCTCCGAGTTCTCCCATGCCTCGTAGTCCCATGGTCCAACAAACGATGGGTTCACCTATGCTGCAGCAGCAGCTGAGTCAAACTTCGCAACCTCCTAGTCCCATGAACACAAGAATTCACCCACATCCACCTAATTCACCAATGATATCGCAGTATCAGCCACCAAGTCCGATGTCGCGTAACCATCCATCAACATCTCCGATGCTTCAACATCAGTTAAATAACGCGCATCATCCTCCAACGTCTCAACCACCCAGCTCTCCTATGCCACGCAGTCCTATGGTTGGTGGTTCACCCATGCAAATGCAAAGGAGACAATCTACTGGGAATAGTCCAGCGATGCCAGATCGACCACAGAGTGTAGAAAATCCAGGAACACCGAGAACACCACATACTCCACACACGCCACATACGCCACATGGCTCTTACACGACTCAGACTTCGAGTAACCATACAGTATCAAGTGATCAACAGCAACAGTTGCAGCAGCAGCAGCAGCAGCAGCAGCAACAACAACAACAACAACAACAGCAGCAGCAGCATCAACACCAACAGCAACCAATTCAACAGGAACAGTCGTCTTCAACGGATCACACAAATAGAGGTGGAGGAAATCCGCACAATCCACTGAATCCATTGCCTTTTGGGCGATTTGGATATATCAAGTTAGGGCTAAGAGGTGGTTCTCCTATGTGGTCTACAAAGCCGGAGAGTAGCAAAGGAAAAACATCTGAATCGCATCTTTTAAATATGGACGAGAAACCGAATACGTCGGTGGTTGTTCACAGGAAAACTGGTATACCGCAATCAAAAATTAATTCGTTGGTGTGCGCAGATTACAATGACTTTGACGATGATTCGCACACGCCGCCTCAAACTCCACCGACAAATATGGAGAACAAGCAGACCACTTCATTATCTGACAATGGCCCTTTAACGTTGGGTAGCCCAAGCAACAAAATGGAGTCGATACCTGACACCACTGATTACGATGATGATAAAACTATCGTAAATACAGAAGTAACTTTAAGTTCAACGGCTCAACGAGACAGCGATGACATTACTGTTATTGATCAATTTGGAGACTCTGAACTCGTGGACGTGATATCAGGAACGTTAGAAGGTGATATGCAAGAGGAATATGTGCTTTTTGAACCTGGAATGGTCGTTGACTTGTCAGCAGACAGTAATGATTCTCTTTGTCACGCGTTGGTTAACGAAGGCAGTCAAGGACACGACCTAGTGCAAATATTAGAAATCGAAAATTCTGAATCTCAAACGGATGAACCAATATTGAGTGATGAAGATCTGGTACCCTCTCATACAAGGAATAAAAAAGGCCTGAGACTTGACATAGTAAGAACTTTGCAATCTGGGAAGAGATTGGTAGCGGTCACGGACACGCCAGAATCGCCTGATCAGGAAGAACTTCGCGTAGATCCGTCGCCTGGATCTTACATGGATCAATCACCCGAACAAGATCTCATGGTGTCTTTTGTTGGCGAATCCGAGGTAGTAATTATCGATCCTAGTACGAAATCGCCTGAGGATAATCTGTCTAAAGAATCGTGCCCGGAGGAATTAGAAAAAGCTGATACCACCAGTGTTTCCGAAGTATCAAAAGATAATGCTATCGTAGAGAGTACTGCTGAAGAACAATCAAAAGTTCAAAAAGAATCAAAACCAACTAGAAGTCCCACGTCGTTTGTGTTTTCCGACAAAGTCCTTTACAATCAAATCCCACCATCGAGTATACATCATGCAAATATTGGCGTGTCATCTGCATGTAGATCTATAGTTTCTTTTCCAATCTCTACAAATATAAGTATTAGTGCCGAAAATACAAATGCTATCGCTGCGTCTACCAATGTTCTGCTAGTTACGGATGCAACTATTAAATCGACTCCAATTTTTACAACCCTGAGCATAACGACGAAAGAGACGATGTCTCCTTCTTTCAACAATCAAAAACAATTGCCATCGACAATAGCGAGCATCGTAGCGGATGCCAAAATTGCTGCCAAGCTTAGCCAGACAGCTTTGGAAAACATCGTGGCCAGTTCACAGCAAAACGTGGTAAAGCCAGAAGTTTTGTCGAAAATCAATTCACCGAATACGGAGATTCTTAGACCTCAAGTTACAACTGCGGAAAGAACAGTGTCGTCCGTATGCAATGTACAAAATGAATTCACCAGTTTTGCGCAAAATACTGCCGCAAGTACGACAGGAGAGGCATTGAGTAATCCCACGAAATTAATTTTGAGCGTGCAACCAACATCTGTTACGCTGTCGACACCAAAAATGTCTATACCTGATCTTCCTAAAAAAGAAAATGGAAATAACTCTGTTACTGTGACGAAAGAAAGTCAATTGGAAATTTCAGACAAAAGTACGAAAGTGAAAAATGAGAAGGACGAACTCGATCATTCGATAAAAAATTCAAAAGAATCTACTGTGGATACCATGAATGTAAATATAGCTGCGAGTGTAACTGGCAGTCAAGAATTAACTTCAGCTGATGATAAGAAAAATGATCCTTTGAACACCACTGATGAATTGGAGAGTATGCTTGAGGCTATTCACAATCCTGCTGAAAACGCCGTAAGTAGAGAGAATTCTCATACAGAAAGTAAAACAGATGCTGCTTCTTCATTGAAAAGAATATCACCAGTTACAGATGATTTATCGCTAGTAAATATTTTAGAAAACGATTCAGAGCCAGTTGAGAATGAAAATAAGGAGGAAAGCGTGGCAACTTCTGAAGCTCAAAGAATGAACCTAAAGCCAAAAGAAATTGAAACCAGCATTACAGAGAATACTAATTTGAATGTCCCTCAAAAAGAAAAAAAGTCTAACGAACTATGTACTGAAACTGAAACCAGTAAACCTTATGCACAGCATTGCCTTAACGAAGAAAAGAACATAATGGAAGAATCATCTGATGATATATTGGACATGTTACATAACATCATATCTTCTAAGCCAGAAATGGCTAACAGCGAAATACTTCAAGAGGACAGATCTAGAAAATCGAGCATGATGTACGAATTGCCAACACCTTTAGACACCTTACCTCTAAACATTCTTCAAGACTCTTTAATGGATCTAGAACAAGAACAATCAGATAACGAACCTAGTGTTTTATCTAACGAGAACAAAGGACCAAAAGTACAGAAAACCAGTCCGCCACCTGTCGAACCTGCCCCTAAGAAGAGCTCGCCCCCACATCAGAGTGCTCCTTTAGTAGTGAGTACAGTCGCGCAATTGCAAAAATGCACAACGACAGTGCCTCATCTCTCTCCTTTGTCAAAACCTACAGAGCTGACGTCGAATGTCGCCAATGTGTCGCATCAGTTAAGAACATTGCTCTCTTCTCTACAGACAAATCATTCACAGAATTGTACAACCGTAAATCAAACCGCCATCGTGACAATGGTATCCTCAGCGATCTCAGGGCCAAAAGTAGGGATACTATCTACGACCAGCACATCCTCGCCAAACTCTGTAAATAATCTTCACAGTAGCACGAACGTGCGGTTGCAGACCTCTATGGCCACGTCTCATTCTACGATCACGAGCAAATCTGAACTAGATACCACAACGACCAGTTATACCCCGCATACAAAGGAAAGTACAAATTCTACAGTAAGCGTTGTTTCTACTTTGTCTAAGGTTACCCTCTCCGAACCATTTTTACGTGTCACATCCAGCGGAGTACAGTCGCAAGCCAGTAATAATCTATCGCTACAAACATCATCTGTGATCACCCCCAGGCCGCTGACCAATTCAGGTATTTCGATTACGTCAAACGCAATGCTAAACGCAATGCTGGCTGGCACAAATTCGGCGAAATCTTCTATCGCTGGTCATCGAACGAATACAGTCCCCACGCAAGCAGGTAATTTACTAAGCTCGGTAATGGCGACGTCTGTACAACGCACGCAGAGCCTTCAAGCGATCTTGCAAGTAAGTTCAGGCTGCTCTTCGGCGCCTTCTCGCGTGGTTGTGAACGCAACGTCGACGACGGTCACAACATCTATGCAGTGCGTCAGAACCATCGTACCTCCTATAGTCACTGCAAGCACCAATAGCATTAACGTCACCACCAGTATACTGCAATCTACCTTGTCTCAAACACCGACACTCTTGCATTCTCAGCTCATTTCTGGCCAAGGTCAGTATAAAACAACCAGCCATTTACCTGTAGATACTAAGAGTGCTGATCTTGAGAGACTGGCGCAGAGTACACCGTCGAAAAAGGAATCAGAAGAATCCAATTGCAAACCGCAGCCGGCTCTTGAAAAACCGTCAACCACTAGATCCGAATTGGAGATAAACAAAAGCTCGGCTGGTTCTCACAGAATAGAGGAATCTCAGAATGTATTGTTGAAGCAACTGCTACAGAACACCGCGTGTGCAACGACGACTTTATGCTCTGGTTCTTCACAAGGCCCCAGCTTGCCACTGGTGCCATCGTTGGAGGCGCAGTTGGCGAGGCCAGTACCGCCAACTCCGTTCTCCGTTTTACCACCTTTGTTGAACGAGGTGCCAGCACCTAAGACCACCAGCAACAAACAAGTTCTGAACAGGGAGACGTCGTTTTTGTCGCAGTCGGTTACACCTTTGAAAGTGCAAAGTCCACCGACCAAAGAAGAGCCACCGAAACCACCTCCACCATTAACAACTTCTGCACCAGTCATATCTCAGCAACGTATGTCTGACCCATTTCCAAAGCAACAGATAACTACCCAGTCAACGAAGACGACGACCACCCCTGTATTAACCCAGACGAATCAACAACCAACGGTGACGGTGACCAAGCAATTACCACCATCGCTTACGACGAAGATCTCGGAAACGACAACCTCCGTAAAGCAAGAACCACCTAGCACCATCACACAGCCATCGTCTAAGCCAACGAGCGAGACTGTTGTTAATAGCACCGTTCCAGCGCAGCAGCAATGCATTGTATCGACTCCAATAACTGTGTCACGAGTGGTGCCACAAACGAAACCGGTGATTACAACAGTAGCTGGCAAGAGTGTCCAATCCACGACGCAAGTATCGAGTACTGTTCAAACAACACAGCAACCATTGACGACCGTCACGAGCGTGCAGCAACCACAACAGACACAAGCACAGACTCAACCTCAGATAGCAGTTACCCCGAAACCTATTGTCTCAACCCAGCAACAACCCCCACACGTAAACACAATTCCGCCAACAGTGCCTCATACGGTGTCTCACACTGTGGGCCACCAAGCCCAGGCGTCACAGGGTGCAAATGCACAACACACAGTGCCTTTAGTGGAAGTCAAAAAGGAAGTTCTTGATGACGTTCTATGTAGCGGTACACCTACCCAATTAACCGATACCAAAGACTTTCTTACTGCCAAAGAGGAGCTCATTGATGGATCGATTGACGACAAAACTGGTATGCAAAATATATTATGTTCTTTATGTGGAAGAGATATAGTGAGATCATAAGTTGAAACGTTAAGTTGGTACATTGATATAATAATAATAATAATAATAATAATAATAATAATAATAATAGTAATTTTATATATATAATTTAAATATCATTTAAAGCTTTGTATTTAAATGTAGGTCAATTTCTACTAATTTTAGTAATTATACTAAATACAGTATTTATTGTGCAATAGGAGGCAATAGAAGAATAATATAATGCATTTGCTATATAGGACGTATAATATAACGTAGAGACACCTATAAGTAATCAATTATTTTAGAGTGAAAACAAGTTAGTTATTAAAATAAAAGTTTCATTTCTTGATCAAGTATACAGTCTCATTATCAATGGATGAAGCTTGCCACCTTGTAAACAAATAAATGTTAACACTTATACGGTTAATATGTAGAACTAATGACGAACGGCCCGTTTGAAAATAGTTGATTACTTGTGGTTACTACTAATAAGGTACCAGAGGAAAGGTAACCAGAAATATTAAAAAAACAACAAATTCTGACAAGATCGAGCACCAGCGTATTTGCTTGATTAATTGATAAATATGATCTCGCTATATCCCATGTACAAGTAATTGAAGATTTCAAGCTTGATATAAATTTAATATTGAAACATTTCTGCTTAAATAAATTTTAAATACTCCCTCGTTAAATTTAAACCTGACAAATAAAATCAAATTATTTAAATTTGACAATTTTCAATTTAAAGAAGATATTTTTACATGTATTAAATTACACACGTGTAGTTAAGTTTTTATGAAAAATACAATTGATATTGTAAATGGAATATTCCATCATTTGTTTTTATCTTGATGTAAAAATATTTTATATTTATACTTAACATGTAATGTAATCTCGCAGATCTCAAGAAGTTGAAAAGGCGACAATACCAACAGAAGAGGAAGCAAAGCCAAGGGAAAGATGCGACGGCAGCACCTCAGAAAAAGCGTGCTAGGAAAGTGTCCCGATTAGATGAGGATTATGACACGTTTATTGACAATTTAATGGCACAATTGCGGCAACTTCAGCCAATGGCAGTATTGGAACCACTTCTAGGCAAAAATTACGGCGTTTGTCCTATCTTTGGCTCGGGAGACCTGACGAAAATCGGCAGTCAGAAAGATTACAACACCAGGACAGGAGACTTAGTTGGTTCATACGGTTCTGCTACATTGCCGGGTGTATCTGATCATTACAACACTCAACCATTCGGTGAATTGGAGCCCCTACCACCTCAACAGCCTGCTTCTACTCAAAGAGGATTTTACGATCAAGAATTTCCACCTCTTAAATTAGATGATTGTAAGCATTTGTGTCAAAGTGAAAGAAAAGTATGGTCTTGGAAAGTCTTTTGGTATTAAATATCTTGAATTAGATATTAAAATAGATCTTATCTAATGATATCTTATCTAATCAATATGTCCTCATTCATTCAACATATATTTTTCTATCATATATACTTTTTGTATTTTACAAATTTTTTTAATTGCTACAATTGCATTACGTTGCCTAAATTGTTTTTTCAACCTTTTTATCCACTTTAAACATACTTTGAATATAGTTATTTCAGAATTGAATGGCTACAACTATTGGCTAATGAAACAAATATTTATTATTAGCCTAGAACCAAGCCCATTCTTTCTTTAATCTCTATAATATAATTTGCTTTTGCATAAAAGAAACTAATGATATTGAACTTTTAGCCGACGATAAGAAGGAAAATTCGTTGTCAATGAATCGTGATGTCGATTCCCCCGATACAATAGTCAGTTCATCTTCGCCCGAATGTGTCATTCCGGAATTCATACATCGATTCCCAGGTTTGAGATTGATCGAGGAAGAATCGGATGAGGAATCAGATTGGCTGAAACGAGTGTCACCTGTGATACCTTTAATTTCACCGATACCAATTAGGTTGAAGCCGACGTACATCGGTAAAGACATCGCCAAACAGGATAAAGAGAATTTAGGAATACCACGGTGCGTAACAAATAATAACAAATTATTTCACATATTCGTAAATGGATTATATTCGTTTGAGAATATCTTTGCTGATACGAGTAATGTGTACAGGCTTGGAAAGTCACCTCCGATACCTTTGAGAGATGGAAACGTAACAGTCACATTAACGTTAAATAGTCAGGCTGCTGACGACATAATGGGAGTACTTAAAGATTTGGCTAATATCTTAAATATAGCTCCTCCCACTGGTTACCAGATAGTAGAACGTACTACTACTCCTCCTAGTCAAAAATTAGGTCTTTATAGAATCAAGGGAAAAGATGGTAAAGAGGGAGGTGTGTATTTTAATGCAATACAAATTATTAACAAAGGTTTTTATTTATTTATTCATCTGCTCTATTATCAAGCAAATAAAAAAAAATGTCATAATGTACACGCAAATTTTCAGCTCCAATTGATATACAAAGTATTTTGAACGGCGCCGCCAAATTCTGTCGTCACTGCGATGTTGTGATATTGAATAGCTTAATAAGGAAAAAAGTATCTGATTTACCATTTTTAAGTAAGGAAGAGGCTGAACCCGGTGATGAATTGTGTTTCTGTTCGGCAGCCTGTTACATGCAATTCGCTCTTATGCATAGAACACCTTCAAACACTCAAGATAAGGTAGCAATCTCGTGTGCATTAGACCATTACGATAAAGGATACTTCGAGTTTTATGATCAAAAACGATCTCTAATGTACGTGTTTTTCGTTAGGCTGCAACGATAGTAGACCATTTATGTCATAAAGTAGATACTAAGGTATTGGATGACGACTTCAAGAAAGGAAAGAAATACATAGTGAAACAGCCGATCGATCATGTTGAAAATATGGAAGTCGATCAGACGGAGAAGGAGACCGAAATTAAGATAAAAATGGAAAAGGAAGAGCAAGATACTCTCGAGACGAAAGAAGAAATCGCAGAAGACAAACGGCCAAAGAAACATTCGGCTATGGATGAGTCTGTCATTGAGCCGACTGACCTACCACCACCTGCAAAAATATGGAAAGGTCTGCGATACAAAACGTGGTCTGTTGGCTTGATGCAACCTTCGACGAAGTACAAAAAACCAACCGACAAAGAAATTACAGAGGTACAGAGATATTAAAAATTTAAATTACACCACTTTGGCGTTGGTTTAAGATAAAAGATATAAAATTTCGCTCTTCCTTCTAGATGCTTTTCCGAATGGGGGTAACTGTAGTGCCTGCCAAAGCGGAAGACAGTCGACGATGCATGTTTTGTCACAGTCAAGGTGATGGTACAGCCGATGGTCCCGCTAGACTGCTTAATTTTGACGTCGACAAATGGGTGCATTTAAACTGCGCCCTTTGGTCGGAAAATGTGTATGAAACTGTAAATGGTGCCTTGATGAATCTCGATACCGCTTTGCAACATAGTCTTGTATTAAACTGTATTGTCTGTGAGAAACCGGGAGCTACCGTGAAATGTTTTAAAATGCGCTGCACCAACGTGTACCACCTTGGCTGCGCTGTTAAAGATGGCTGTGTTTTTTATAAGAATAAGGTAACACTCTCAAACTTAAACGACAGCACATAAACCAGTAGTACGAACGTTAACCAAGGTATATAGAATCGATCGACATATCGATATCATTTTTTTTTTTTTTTTTCAGAGTACCTACTGCTCTCAGCACGTGCAAAAGAACGAAAAGGATAACGAACTGACCACGCTTTCCGTCTATAGAAGAGTGTACGTGAACCGTGACGAAAATAGACAAGTCGCAGCTGTGATGCATCACTCGGAACACAATCACCTGCTGAGAGTCGGGAGCCTGATATTTTTAAGCGTCGGACAGCTGCTTCCACATCAACTCGCCAACTTCCATACACCTAATTACATATACCCCGTCGGATACAAGATCGTCAGATTTTATTGGAGCATGAGACGACCGAACAAACGCTGCCGCTATGTCTGTTCTATCCACGACGTCTCCGGTCGGCCCGAATTCCGCGTCCTGGTCCAAGAACCCTTGCAAGAGGACGTTGAACTGCGAGATGCTACTCCCCGCGCTGTTTGGAGCAGAATCCTCGAGCCTCTCGCCGAGCTACGAAGATCGACGCACAGTGTCCAGCTATTTCCGCGTTACGTTTCCGGCGAGGATCTATTTGGACTTACCGAGCCGGCGGTCGTTCGCGTCCTCGAAAGTCTTCCAGGCATCGAAACACTGACCGATTACAGATTTAAATACGGTCGAAATCCCTTGTTAGAATTACCGTTAGCGATCAATCCTACCGGCAGCGCGAGAACGGAGGCTCGTCTTCGCAATCAATTACCTTGGAAGAGGCCGCACACGCAGCGTACAGGCTCCTCGGCCAGAGCAGCATTCGTTCCAACCGCGACGGTCGCAGGCGAAGTGGCGTGTCCCTATTCCAAGCAATTTGTCCATTCAAAGAGTTCTCAGTACAAAAAGATGAAGCAAGAGTGGCGGAACAACGTGTACCTGGCACGATCAAAAATACAAGGCTTGGGACTGTACGCTGCGCGCGATCTGGAGAAACACACAATGGTCATTGAGTACATCGGGGAGATCATTCGTACTGAATTGGCTGAGACTAGGGAGAAGCAGTATGAAGCGAGGGTAAGTTTTTCCATCCAACTTATCGTTGTGTATTGCATTGCACGGATAACCTTAAGTCAGAAAGCAGTGTTACACGCGACGCAAAGTGTATGATATACATGTATATATACCTTTTGAAGGAACAAGAATTAAGAATTGGGCAGAAGGAAACTTTAGAAATATGTTTGTTACAGAATCGTGGTATTTATATGTTTCGCTTGGACGAGGAAAGGGTAGTCGATGCAACGTTGTCTGGAGGTCTCGCTAGGTACATCAATCACTCTTGCAACCCGAATTGTGTCGCTGAAATAGTCGAGGTTGAACGTGATCTTAGAATCATAATTTTTGCGAAACGAAGAATCTCACGTGGCGAGGAGGTGCGTATTTTCTATTCGTTGAGTCATAATTGGCGTTAAGAAGAAAAAAAAAAAAAAAATACACACACACACACACTTATATAACATTTTATTCGTTGCAGCTGGCATACGATTACAAATTTGACATTGAAGATGACCAGCACAAGATAGCATGCGCATGTGGCGCGCCTAACTGCCGCAAGTGGATGAATTAAAGAGCTCGATCCACCGTTGTTGTTATTGTTACTACGTTATTGGGTAGGTTTTACATGAAGAAAAAAAATTATATATATATATATATATATACATAATATATATATAATATATATTGTGTATATATATATATATATATATTTTATATATATAATAGATACATTATTTAATTTGTAAAGTGCCATTGCAGTTTGACTAATTGATTCATAGTGAAGTTGGTGCTATGCCATCACAACATTCCTCCAAAGTTGTACAATATTAGTTTTACTTTACAAAATATAGAAACATTGATCGCTTGTATATTACGGACACTCTTTAAAGACACGACACAGAGTAATTGCAAAAAGAAAATAAATTTTATGGGTCGTGTGTATGTATACAGGAAGTTTGTATCTTTGTATGTTGAGTAGAGTCAACGTTTAGTTGACCGATATTGTAATATAAATCGTTTATTAATTATTATTGCATATACATTGCACTGTATCTGTACATAAGTAGAGGTCCATGTTATTTTGAATCACCAGAAGAATTATGTAAAGTAACAGTATCTAATTTAGAATTATATACAATTATAACTATATATACATATATATATATATATATATATGTGTATATATATATATATATATATATATATATATATATATATATATATATATATATATTTNATATATATATATATATATATATATATATATATATATATATATATATATATATATATATATATATATATATATATATATTTCATTATATGATAATAAATCCGTACAAAATCTACTGATCTATTTCGTTTTTGTAAATACCTTTTTTTTGTGTGTGTTTAATTCGATCTACTAGCGTTTAGTATGTAAATTATATTCGTCGTACTATCTCGAATCATTTACCGTGATAAATATCAACTTCAAGTCGCAAGGTATTTATGCATTTTAATGAACTGCGACAATACGAAAGATATTTCTGAATTTATCAAAAACAAACAGAAAGGATACTTCTTCCATTGTCAAATAATTTCTCAAGTTTATATATAAATTACAGATTCATATACAGATCTATATACAGATATATAGATATACATATATATTTTTATTGAAGCTATAAAGATTTTTAAATACTTCACACAATACAGTGTAATACAATCACGATATAAAACACCCAAATTTATTCTTCACCAGGACTACGTGCGTATTTTAAAAATTAATTTTCCAGAATGCAGGACGTTTGTAGTACGATATCTCTGATAAAAGTTTCGACTTTAAAAGTTTTATTTAGGTAACGGAAGAAATATTTAAAAAGTTGTACATTGTATTTACAACTCGTTTAATTTGTAGCAAGAAATCTGGAACGAGGAGAAAGTAGTTTTTTAAGGGAAAAGGAATACAAAATGAAAAAGAACACAAAACGAGAACAGATCATATTCACAATTTTATTTTCGTAACTATAAAAAGATAATATTTACAAAGAAATATTTCATGTACACAAAGTATAAGAAAACGAGTGATACGACAAAACTAAAAAAAGAAAAGTATGTACCATGAGTATTTAATTGTAAGAACGTGTCACGATTAGTTTATACAGAGCAGAATATATCTGACGTCGGAGAATCTGACATCCGAAAAATTTAATTGTGCAATGGAATGTGAAAGAAAAGGGAAAACTGGCAAAATCTTCAATAAGTTTTTCGTATTTGTAAACGTAATAATTGTGTGAATACTTGAAGATCGGATAGAAGGAAAGCAACACAATCGCGCAGTATGCAAAAATATATAACATACAAAACAAAGAAAAAAAATAAAAACGATGTAATCAATGAAATTATATACAAACGTAACGCGAAGAAGAAACACATTGTAAGAAAAAAAAAAAAAAAAAATGTACTTTTAAATGCGATTCTTTGGCATTTATGCACGATACAATTGTAAAGCGATCTAAACGTTACAACACCATGTGATCTATGTACAATTTAAAAGAGTAACTATCACCTTAAGCGTAAAAGTAAGTATGAAAACAAGGTATGACGTTTAATGAAAGAAAAATCATCTGCGTGTACTATTATCGAAAGATTTGAACAGCAACATTGCGTTTTGTAAGGTTCTCTATGTGTGTTGTGTACGAAACGAAAAGCCGGCTTTCGGCAGATTTTTGTACATTCATGTTCGATCTGTATATATATATATATATACTGCGCAGTGAAACACATACCCTCGGATTGTAATATCGTATATTCTTTCTGAAACGCGACGATTAATCGAGCGAAGATTTTTCGAGTATTTTATCTAATAAAAAAGAAAGAAAAAAAAGGACGAACGCGAGAAAAATCTATATATATAAATAAGGAAAAGCTTTATCACGTTGAACGATATTTTTTGTTTTAATATAGTACAATTGTAATAGAGCGATCTTGTGCAACTTGTCCTCAACTTCACGTGTTTATTAAATTTCGTAGTTGATAGTTGTACATTTGTGTAAAGTCATTTCATTCGAGGTAAATTCCTTAATGTAAAGCCTTAAGTTCCCTTGATCGATATAACGAGTGATTCTGAGTAGCTCATCACTTAGATCTCTCTTTTCTTTTTTCCACACCTCTTCTTTCCAGGCTTCGATCTTTTGCAAAACGATCAATTAGAAAATCTTTGTTAAGTAAGGCGTCGATCAAGATGATTAGTACCAGTTTGTAATTAAATCTCGAGGCATGCTTTAATTTTAAAAATTAAATTATAATAAATTTATTTGATGATAATCAGTGTGACTTTGTATTTTCCCTTCGCACGTCTCGTTTAAAATATATAGATATTTTACCCTTACCCTAACGTGATCGAATAAAATAGAAAGTATCGCACGAGTAAAATTCCGCTATTTAATCAGTTGGAAAATTGTTTCCATGACACTTTTTAATTATTATATTGTTTCACATCTGGCAACAGATTTACTTGACAATGCCGAGATATATTCAATATACCTCATCTGTGCTACAAGTTGAATCTTCATCGTCTGCATCATAGATCAAACTCTCGAAGTGAATTTTTAAATAATATTTAATTAATTATTAAAACATTATCTAATATTTATAATAATTTACTTACAACAATTAAACAATTAATTCTTTTCTACCAATTGTATAACATTTCCAAGTACTGTTTAAAATTTTCAATCATCGAAATCAATGAGAGAGTGATTAATCTACAAGCTCATTGGCAATCAGAAAGAGACAATTAGAAGAAAATAGGAACGAATAATATTTCGAACTCATAAAATCATTCGTATCATTTTTATTAACAATTTATAACAATAAATGATTTCGGTCGTTGCAACTGAGTGAGTTGGTCTTAACACATAACATCGTACTATGAAAAAGAAAATATATGCATGGTATCGTTTAAGAAAATAAATTTGACTTCGAAATTTCGAAACGGACGATTTGCAAAAAATAATTTACAGCAATGTGTCCCTTTATTCCCAACAATATTTGTAAAAACATTTCTCTGATACGATAAATCCAATGTTTCATAAAATTGAATTTGCGGGATAAAGATAATTCATTCAGGCTATGGATTTACACATTCGTAATAATAGAATGTTATATCTAATTGTATTATTCATAAAAATATCATATTTTAATCAATCTTTTCTAATATTTTTAAATAGATGTTAATAGTCAAATATATACTAAATTTTTCATCAATCGCTGTTTTAAATCGTTACATGCCTTCATTGATAAAATACCACCACGTTTAATTCAATAAATAATTCTTGAAACAAATCTGTCTCAAAAATCATATTTTTTAATTTTAATTCTCATCATTAGTAGTGCTGCGATGCAAACCCTGCCTGAATCGGTAAAACAGGATGTGACACGAAAATGGTAATGCAGCCAGGAGAATTGCAAAATCGTCGCCGAAAAAATACATTGTATGCGAGGTCTATTCGTATACCTCATCTGTGATGATGGTCTGCCGTCTTCGTTCACGATGACACTGGCTCAATCCTGTTGCATGCAATAAATCAATAGATAAATCATTAAATCAATTTCAAATAATACAATATAAGTGAAGTTGTAGCATATATGTTTAAAGCGCTTAAAGTTAATAATGAAAATCAAGTCAAACCTTATACATTTAGGAATCAATATAATCAATCAGATTCATTTTTAGGAATAAATAATTTTTAAAAATAATTGAACTGAATCTTTTCTTATCAATCCAATTAATGGCAAAATTTAATTTTTTTCTTCTCGATGCTTTATAGATTTTGAATTACATATATGAAATAAAATAAAATGTTAATTTTTAAGGGAATTATTTTTCCAGTATGAATTTTATAAAGATATGCAATTTTATCATTTTCATGCTTATTGGTTTCATGCTATTTGGCTTTCAACTTTATAATGAAAAATACATGGAAATTACTGAAGAAACTGAAAACAAATTAATTGTATAGTATGCCTCATAATTGCTTGTAACAATATTAATGATCTCATCTTGTTGTTGTACATAGCAACATTATTAAGCACATCAATAGTACATGCAGTGATATATATATTTTTACAAATGATATAAAAACAAAATGAAAAGTATTAATGTAATACTAACTATTAAAAGTAAAATTAATTTTGCACATGCAGGAAATGTTACAACATGCAAAAACAAAACTAAATACTGGGCGATATCAATAAGAAAAAAAGAAGATGCATACAACATCAAATACATATCGTATTAGTAAGGTACCTACTGGTATATTTGTGGGGAATATTTATGTATGAAAGTTGCGAATCTATATAATTTGGAGACTGTTTATCTTTATTGCCATTAGCTTTATGTAGTTTATAATAATCGTTATGTTATCCACATATAATACAGTTTTATGTACAAGGGGTCTAGTGTACACTATGATATTAGATGTAGTGAACGACTTCTCGAGAAACGATACAAAAAGAACAGTGTTTAAGAAACAATTAAACAGATAATCAAAGCGACTATCTACAATCAAAATACAAAAGTAATGAAATAGAGTTTCACTGATTTTTATATTTAAAAGTTTAATGTATTCGTAGTATACTGAGCAACAGTATGATTTTTACAGGAACCGTATCTAGAAACGCTAACTAGTCAATGAACAGACTCGTTTTGGTGTTCTCTAAGAGAGAAATTTCACAGGAATGCTTGCGATTCATTGATACAAACATTATACTAAGAAAACAAAAAAACAAAGAAAAAAATGAACACTGCTAGCTAAACGTTGCTCAACGCAATCACTCAAAACCATGTAGTATTTTGATTTCTCTCTCTCTCTCTCTCTCTCTCTCTCTCTCTCTTTCTCTCCCTAACTGAATGGTACTGGAAATTAGTAGGTCCTAATACTGCCTTTTCCAAGAGTATAGAGTATCGCTTGATTAGATTCAGAACGCTGGCATAAAATAATTACGTAACACTTGTAAGAGTGTGCCTTTTTTCTTCCATAAAATAAATTATTTCTTACATACTTAACAACTTGTAAGTAACGTCGTCAAAAAATACACAAATCAACTTGAAACGAACGTCCGTAATATTTTTCTTAATATTTTAACACGCCAATGCAAAACCATCATATATATTCACGAAACGATATATACGAACAAGTTAATGAAAATCGTTCTTTCCGAAATCATTTAGAACGCGCGAAAAAGCACCAAGTCAGTTACGTAATACTTTTTATGCAAGAATGCGATCGCGTGTATACATATACATATATTTGTATATATGTACATAATATGTACATACATGTGTGTATATATATATATACTGGATAATCAATAAGGCTAGAATAATTTCGACAATTTGCTACTTGTTATGCACCTAAACGTAAAGTCAGAACAGTGATTAGAATAAGGTGAGGCCCTAGAATAAGGTAGTCCTTATCTGCGGTATTTCTCAATTAAATACCGAGAAACGAAACGTTTCCTTTTCCTCGGTTTCTTTCTCTCGTGACAGTTTTCTCTTCTTCTTCTTTCGTCTCCGTTTTGTCATCTTATTGTTAGTCGTCGTCGACTAAAAGCTATTGGAACGACATTGTTCCTCTTCGTATATATCAACCAATTTTACCTCGAAGAAAAAAAAACCGCGAGAAACGATGCGCGAACACAGAAAAGAAGAACATCGGTCGTCGAGGATCGATCACGGCAAAAAACACATGGAGAAATCGCGGAATATTGAAATGGAATACAAAGGCGCGAATCACACCATATTCGCGGCGAAAATACACCAAATACAAAAATATATCGCACATTTGCGCGCACAGAATTCTCGTTTCGCAACTGAACAGCTCCGGGGAGGTCGGGAATATAACGCGCCTAATGAATTTGATCCAGTCTTAAACTTTATAACGATCGTCGCATATCGTCGCATTTTATATCGGCTTAACTCAGTGTGTATACATGTATCGTCTTCGTTGCAATTAACGAACAAAAATCGAAGTGACTACGGCGAAACGACACACAGTCATTTCTCGACACTTTCTTAATTCTTTTTCTACGATTTTTTTCTATCTCTTTTTTTTATCTTCTCTCCTCCTTTCGTTCTCAACGAAACGCACTTCTCTTTCTCTCACTCACTCACTCAGTCACTCATCATTCACTCACTCTCTCTCTCTCTCTCTCTCTCTCTCTCTCTCTCTCTCTCTCTTTACTTATTTCGATTAGTTTATCAGAAAATAAATATATCTATTTAAATAAACAATCAACAACGCGTGCGCAGAGTACCTTGGAGTTTCGCGTTGAAATATCACTTCCATCGTGTATCTTTGACGTTGATGATCTATAAAAAAATCTCGTTCACGCGAGACGTATCTCATCGGCCGATAGAAAGGTCTAGGTCCTTAGGCGATAAATAAAATAAAAAAAAAAAAAGACAATGGAAGTCACGATTGTTCATGGAGATGTATCGATAACAGTCTGTCGTTACATTCGTAGAGTAAGTAGCACACAAGACCATAAAGAAACAGAAAATAATACACGTATACATACATACATATATATATATATATATATATATATACATACACACATATACATATATGGATAAAAAAAAAAAAAAAAGAAATAAAAAGAAATGCAGCCACGTAACCTTCGGTGAAACTTTCTCGAAACAGCATAAGAGAAGCGGGTATATTATTTCACGCCACCTGTGTTACCCGATATAACTGGTTAAATATCTGTTGTAAAATTTGTTAGCAGCGGAACTGAAAAGCGAAAAGCATGAAGAGATGCTCGTGTAAGATATTGGCTTTCTTCGTTCGTTTTTAACGCACGAAGATAGGACACAGTTTGGTATAGCAACAAAAATACCGCGCCGTTGTTTTTGGTTCGATGACGTGATCCTACAATTTCTGTACAGTATTACGTTCTGTTTGATACAGAAAAGTATTAAGTTCTATTACAAGATGCAAAACATAGATCTTTGTCGTTTATATAGATAGATTTACGTTCAGATCAATTGAACGATGGTCACGCAATTAGATCGTCTCTGTTTCCTTGCTGTTTTGGAGTATTGTTCTATACGTAACTGGTCTTATCTTCAGAGTCAAGGCACGAGTCTCGAATCGGGCCTTGGCCAGGTCTTCGTCAACGCTTTAACAAACTACTCGGGTACAATTAGTGAACCATTTGTTACTGAGTTAGGTGTGAATCTTGATCCAATATCACCACTTTGTCAGCCGGTTTCTCGAATAAGCGCTTAGAACAGCAGCTATTTTTTCTACGCTTAAAAATATATATATATACGAAAATTAATTGACTCGAACGGCAGAAACTAATTAGAACGAAAAAAGAAAACAAATAAATATTACATAAAATAAAATTAATAGTAGTAGGAAAAAGTGAATGGCTCGACAATGGGGGGAAGATCGAAATCGCTGCTGTAGTAGAACGCCGTACGAATGCTAGCTACTATCGGTGTTTGTTATCGTTTATAACGGCCGCTGATAAGTTTACGATTAAATATAGTAAAAGAGAACGTTGAGTACACGGTACGCGCGAGTTAAAGTAGAGTACTTAACGAGCGATGCGTCGGATACACGGCATCGTTAGGTAAATTATTTTTTTCCTTTTCTTTTCTTTTCTTTTCTTTTCTTTTCTTTTCTTTCCCCGTTAATTCTGTTCCGAATTTCAGCTGTTGCCTCTGCCTGCGCGTGCAGGTCAGACTAGACCACACATGCTGAAAAGACACCCATCACACGTCAACCAATGTCCCCGCCGTAGTCCTGACCGTTTAGCAGATTACGGTTGTAAATGGCAGCCCTGTAACTGTACCTATTTATAGCCGGCCGATCAGGAACTGGCGGCGGTATCAGCGCCACGTCCGAGTTCAACAAGGCACCGATTCCCTCGTCCACCTCGCCGATACTGCTCTTCACCAACGACGGTTCCACCTCCGTGAACGCCAACCTTGACCGTAACAGGTACGCGTACGTTTTATATCTCTTCAGCTGCGAATGAGAAAAATTGCCCAATTTAAAACTGTCACGTGGATACAGTAGAACCTTTCTTGTATGAACTTACTACACTATTTTTCCCATAATAATTTATTTAGAATCAGAATCTCTGCTAGCAGTAGTAACGTAACAAAAAATAGTAACAAAAATTCAACAAGGTGTGCAGTTTAAAATTATAAAATTCAAATGCCCAAAAAATATACTTCATTTTCTATTTAGAATTACCTTCTAAGAAACTAACCAATCATTATTCTGCTTGAGAGAGATGAGAAATCTCAGTATGGCATTCCAGGCATTTCAATGGAAATGAATTTTGAAATATAAAATTGTAGAAAAATTTATAAATATTGAAAAAATTGTAGAAAATACTATTGTGTAGAATTGTATGAAGTTTTATTTAAGTTTTGTCTGTATCACTGTTAATCGGAACAATTAATAAGCTAAACATGTAAGTGACTATATTTTAAAAAATAATACAAATAATACAAATAAATTCTTGTCAAGTAAATAGCTGTATGCTAATGCAGAAACGAAGAATGATTAGCCGGAATTTGAACACTCTGACATTAAAGTTATGTAACTGGTTAAGAATGAGGGAGCATGAAATATATCGCGGTGAAAGTGCCGTACTTTTTTTTCATTGAATGTTGAGCAATTCGCTTCGATTCGATAAAACGTTCCAAGAGCGTGTAGCAGATATAAATCGAGTTTATTACGTTTATTGCGAAAGTTATACTTGGCATTTTACATTTATTAATATTAATTAAATTGTATCCTAAGGAATTTTTAATTTTTCAAGAGAAAGTTTCAAGATAATACTATAAATTACAAACTTTGGGTTTAAGCTTCTTAAAACATAACCACATTCCATCTAATTTTTTAAATTGTAACTGTAAGTATACTTAAATTAAAGAAGACTAGAACAAATGAAGAATAGGATGACTAATGTTATAAATGATAGATGTCAAACTTTATAAAAGAAGAAAGCTGTTACCGAGTATTATATTATATATTATACCTCATGATGCAAGTAGGCATCTTTTTCTTTATAATTTTGTACAGTAAGAGCTTTAGCCCCCCGCTCAGGTGGATGTCGTCTGTGCTCCTCCAGTTCAGCTTCCAATTTGCTCACCCTTTCCTCGTGGTCCCGTAACTGTTCTCTCTGACAACACGTGAAAAAAAATCCAACGAACCGTCATTCAACGCGCAACTCCTTAGTTAAAAGAAAGAAAGAAAAGAAAGAAAGAAAAAAAAAAAAAAAGAAAAATCACGAGACGAGTGAGTCTACTGCTTTCCCTTTTTCATCTGTTTGTTTGTAAAAACTAGTATTATTTAATACGTTTTGTACACTACACTCTGTACGACGGTTTTAATTCTGGCATCCGAATCTCGAGTACGAGAACTCAGAGGACGGAGTTTGCTTCGGGCATTATATTCGTTTGCCTGACCGTGTAGAAGAAACTGCTGTTCTTAATCTCTTCGTTCTTATGCCAATATTACTCACAGGAGATAATTTCGTGTGACTGCATGGAAGCAGAGGCCGCTGAAACTTTCGCTGAGAACCCACCGCTCCTGCTAGTGGCTGGCAGGAAAAGCTGGCACACACGAAGTTGATCGTGTCTATCCACGACTGCAATTCTTTGGAATCACTGAAAATATATTCACTTGTAATTTCTGACATTTCAATTGACGGTATTAACCCTTTCGCTCCGAAGAATGTGTATATATATATATACATGTATCTCCTCGACGGATTATGTATGAAAAGTATACTCCCACACTCCCACTCTAAAGTTTTGGGGTATTTTTTCATTTTTAATATCTTTATTTTCAATAACTTTCATAGACAATGAAATCACAAAATTGTACGTACATTTTAAAACAATTGTTGATCGTACAAATTCTTTGCTGTATAAATTAATCGTTTTCTAATCTTTCCGATTTTGAAACAAATACATATTTTATTGCATTAGTCATATTAAAATCTTTTAACTATATGTATATGTTTGTATATTTATAATTGTACATTAATGATATAATGTTATATTAATGCTTGTGCGGATTCTTTATTGTACAAATTATTATTTAATTCTTCCAGATTTGAAACAAATCTAATCTATTTGTTCTAAAACTTTTGAACGAGGGCGTACATCTGCACTACGTATACTACAATTACATTTTCTTTTTTTTTTATACTTTACGTATATCATGCTACCATTTCTATTGGCAACCAATCAAATTCAATCAGAAACGTGTCAGAACGAGAGGGTTAACGATATTGCGATCGAGTTACTGACAAAAGACGATATTACCTAGTTTGGAAGAGATACTCTGCTTGATCAGCAGTCTGTAACCTGAAGACATGTTCCTTTTTCGTATAGTCGGACGCTTTGGTGGCTAACGCGTGATGAATGCGTATCGCGTTGTGCAAACTGTCGTTGCGGAAGCCATGCTCGTCTTTGTGCAAGTATAATACAAGTTCCCTCAATGTACAATAATACATCTTCCAGCCGCGTTTGCCGAACGGTGCTGAAACGATTTCAAGTAACATTTTATTTCCGTCACATTTTAAAGTGAATGTTACCAAATGAATGTGAATTATTATAGCATCGTGAGATGCTCTCTACAAAAACTAGTAGTAGAGAACGACACTAGGAACGACGTTACACATTTGAACATTAATACACGGATAATTAACGTACAGATGAATTAATTTACAGAGAAAGTAATTGTAACCTACTATAACAGCTAATCGTACCAGATTGAGCAAGATTCTGATTTCTTTGAAATTAGCTGACAAATTTGAAAAAGAAAGGTGAATAGAAAGAAATACGAAGGATGATATATAAAATATATTACTTTTCTTCCCGTTGGAGTCGAAGCAACATTTCCGCATAACATATCCCTTTTTAAATTCTGTAGCACCCGTAACATTTGGCACGTCGAGAAACGGATTTCCGGTACCAGATATCGCTGGACCATCACCCTGTTGGATCGCCTGATTCGCTGTTTCATCACCTTCTTCGTCTCTGAACAGCCAGCAGCCAGCAAATTCCATTATATTACATTATCTCAATATACGACATAGTCCTTACTATTCTTTGCCGATTGTATTCATTTATCGAAATGATAAGTGACTAAGAGGTAGCATATAATATTATATGTTCTAAAATAGAGGGGGGGGGAGGGGGGGGGGCGAAATAAGTGGAAATAATTTGAATTAATAAATTTACATGTAACTTTTGAAAGCTTATAAGCTGAATTGTGAAACTTTTATTAACTTGAAGATTAAGGAAATTATATAATTTCAGGAAGCTAAAAAAAAAAAAAAAGAGCTCTCTTCACTTTTAATAACTTTTAACACACAAAATGGCGTATCCGAAGTAAGTATCCTTAAAAATTCTTGTTTTTCTCGCTGTTAGTAACATCATCTGTTATCGCTATTAATGTAACATTCGTAGCCACTAAAGTGCGATTTGAATATCCGAAAGACTAGAATTTTCAAAGTACCAAATTGTATTATAAATTAATGCTGTAAGTCATATAGAAAATAAAGGAAAGTTAATTAAAATTACCTTTCGCAGTTTCTTGAAATTACGTTCATTATGAAAAAAGAGAAAGCTTGTTGTAAGCTTTTCAAAATTGTCGGCAAAAAATAGTCGCCAAGTACTATGACAGAGAAATCCCATTTTCAAAAGTTTGATTAAACTCACAAGGCCCATTCCAAGGGGAACGATTTGATAGCATTGTAAAGCTGCTTCAGCACCTCTCTCGGGAAGTTATCGCCGTCGTTCAATTCCGAGAGGTTCTCGATAAATTCGTTACACGACATCTTTCTCCCGATATTCTGGCCGTGCAGGTCCGTATTGAGCAGCATTATGGCGCAGGTTAACGTGTGAACAGCGTCTGTAATCAACGAGTGTAAAATATACGAATTATCGCTGTGTGCTAGATTTATATTAAAAAAAAGAGAGAGAGAAAAAGAGAAAAAGAAAAAATATAGATTGTTTACCCTGAGAATTGAAAGCGCCCGGATTACAATCGAGAAATCTTTTGGAGAAATGTACAAGAACCCTCTCCCTTTCCTGGGTCTCCCCCGTCAAAGAGAACTGGGCAAGGAACTTTCTGAGAGCCACGTCCAGCGTGTCCCGTTCGAAGCTGAAGTATCTCAAGTATTCTTCGGCTACCGCTCTACTAAAGTCGTTGCTGCAATGCCCAAATCCGGTAACACATTAGCATCGGCGAAACAATTTCAAAACACGATGGGCTTGGAATTTAACCGAGAGAGAAACGTGATTGAGAATCTTTCGAGATCTTATTTTTATAATTTCTCAAATTAATATTATTTGGATTGTCACTTTAAGTTGAAAGGAACATAATCTGATTTGAAATAGTATTACTTTTCAAATTATTAATATCTAAATTGAAAGAAAAAGGAATAAAGGATTGGCCAGTGGTAGTCGATTTTTAAATATTACCCTTTAGTTTGAATGACTCGAAACAATGACAAATGAATAAAGAAATAAATAAGAGTGCGGATTTTTTAAAATTACAAATGAATAAAAATCCGCAGTTTCAATACAAAACCTGAACCTAGTGAGATCTCCGAGTGAGATTGTTCTGATCGGTCTCGTTAGAGATCAAGGCCACCTCGCCAGGTTCACAAACTGCGTGCTCACGTACTTTTTGCTAAGATGTCTAGAGACATCAGACTTTTTGAAGCCGTCCAAGGAGTATAGCCTCTTGGCCAGTCGAACGGCCGAGGGCAGGTCCACCGCTTTCGGACTGTAATGGAAGCTGTGCAAACTCTCGATGTCGCTTTCTTCGTCCGCGGACTGCGGCGGTGACGCGCCGCCGTGCTTGTCTTCGTAGTTGCCAATGTTCAGAGCTTCGTTCTCGTCCTCGCTCTCCTTCAGCTCCTTCAGCAAAAAAGGAAAGGTAAGACGTGAGGGATAGAAGACACAAAGTGGACGCGAGTAAAGTAACACCCATTTTGTGGTCACATTTTGATACTGATACGAGATCCAACAGGAATGATCTACCGCTTCCGGGAAATATAGAGTATCTGTTGTAGAAATTTTATCGAAGCGAATGCTTCACTCTAAATGAATTTATTTGCGTTATACTCGATTTTACGCTAATTAACAATTCACTCTTCTGGAGTATCTGAATTATGACATCGACCTATTACCACTAATGACCACCTACGACAGAATATCATTTCAATTGTCTACATTTATAAATAAAACGATTAAAACGTTGGAAATCTCCCTTATGTTAGCAACTACTTTCAATTCCAGAAATTCTCGTCAATTTCAGAAACAGGGAAAAAATGAATAAATGAATTCGAAAGATTGGGAGAGACGAAATGAAATGAAATGAAATGAAATGAAATGAAATCGGAGTAAAAGTAACCTCCAACGAACCTGATATCCAACGAACTCGGGCGTGACGTTGCCAGCGGTGTTATTGCCAGTCGGCCGTTGCACGGTGTTCTGCGCGGTGGATGTAGGCACGAGTTCCTGATTGCCGAGATTGCCCCGTCGCCTGTTTTGCCTGGGACTGGTGTTTCTCTGGGCCGCGGCGACGTCCTTATCCGGCCCCTTCACCTGTATCACTATCCTGTGCTCGCTGTTGTCCTGCGCCGGTGTGTAAGCGTTCGACGCCGGTGGTGGTGGTGGTGGTGCTGCTGCTGCTGCTGCTGCTGCTGCTGCTGCTGCTGGTACTGAAGAAGAGGAAGAAGAAGCCGCCGCTGCTGCTACCGCCGCCGCCGCCGCCGCCGCCGCCGCTGCCTTCAACCTCCTCTGCGGTGGCTCGCTGGCGAGTATCGTCGAGTCACTGTCACTCGGATCACTGACCATCATGATATCGCGTGCACTGAGTATGTCCATAGTCTCCTCGTCGTTGTAGTCGGGACTGGACATGTTGCTGATGGCCTCGGACTGGCTGAGGTCACCGTTGGTAGGATGAAGGCCGGAGGCCGAGGAGACGGTCCCGTCGCCGGAGGGGCCCAGGGCCGCGGCGCTAGCGCCCGTGGGTACCGGCGGTGGGAACCTACGGGACCCAGAATTCGAGGACATGACGGAGGACGAGACCGAGGTAGGGGAGGTTGGCGATAAGGATCTTTGGGGGCTAGTTCCCTCCGTCGAGGAGCTACTCGACGTGGATTGGGAGGAGCTGCCGTTCTGGCAGCAGGAGGTGCGCTCCGAGGCGGACGGCGAGCTAACTGGCGCGTTGTACGTCCAAACGATTCGCTCGCTGGACAAACCCTGGCCGCTGTCCGGCCGAGTGTCCAACAGGGTGTTTAAGCTGGACGTGACGTCGTCGTCAATGTCAATGTCCACCGCGCTCATCGACGGGTCCTTTTGGAATTGCAAGTGGTCCTCGGAGCGCGAGGTGCGGACGAAGCCGCTCGAATAACCGAAACTCGCGGCGCTTTGTTTGCTAGTATCGCTCTGGCCTGGACACTGGCCGCTCTCACGTTTGCTGATCCCGACCGGTGAGGTGCTGGCCGAATTCGAACCGGTACACTTGTAGGCACGGTGATGGCCCAGCATCTCGTTAGGACTGGTCGGTACCGAGTTATGATGGTGGTGATTGTGGTGATTATGGTGATGGTGGGTGTGATGATTGTTGTACCTCAGCGAGTCGACCTTCTTCTGGTGCTTCGGTAGCAGGCCGCTGCTCTGCTGCGTGCGCGACAGGTTCAGCATTAGGTCGCCGGTCATCATGTACGCTTCGAACCTGCGTTCAGTTTTGCGTTCAGTTTTTCGATCAGTTAGACGACAAATCGTTTCTCTATCTATCTATCTATCTATCTATCTATCTATCTACATTGTGCGGCCGAGTCTATCGCAAGTCTATAACACGTTCGCTACCGCACAATCGCTAGCGCGGCTAACGTGACTCGTATTCCTTCGCATTTATCCAATAATTTTTTACACTAGAGTCTTTCTTAACCGGCATATCATATAATTCATAGATGAAAGAATAATTAATTCATCCGACAGTGTTGCATAAGATATTTATTTCAGTATTATTAGATATCATTAGGTAGCACAATGACCGATTTCACTAAAAATGTTATTAGATAATATTTATAGAAACGTCGATTTCAAGCTTGAAGAAAACCGATCGCAATACTTTGACAATTGTTTCATTGTAAAAAAAAAAAAAAAAAAATAGATTTTGTATCAGGAAAAAAAAACTATGAATGAGCTATAATTAAAGTTACGGCTATAGCTAAGAAAAAAAAAATTGTTCGTGAGAAACAGATCAAAGTTTTTGAAAAAGTTTTTGCATTGTTACAGCTATTCGTCAATACGACTGACGATGCAAAATATCGTTATCGATTCTTTTCATATCAAAGTCCATCGTTGCCGCCACAGAAAAACCACAATCTGTTTCTACAGCAACTATCGACCAGATAAAAGCATAGTAGATTAAAACGTAGCCGAATAAGAAAAACGTCTGCCGTACGTTCATTCATGAAAACAAATTCCATTCGATAAAAAACTCAATGCTTCTATAAGATGTGTGTGGTGGAATCGCTACGTGAATGAACTAAAAAAATACCACAGAAACAGCCCAAGAGAAAAAGGAAAGTTAAATTAATCGAACACAATACGGTAGAACTTCGTTTATATGGACGTCAACATTTGTTTGAACCGTTAATTTCAGCGATTATTCGATTAAACGAACACTTGCTGATTAAACTCACTTACGAAGGTGGACAAAAGTATTCGCACATTCGGTGAAAAATTTCCTTACAACATCTTACAACATCACAAAAGAAAATCATACAGCGATCCAACTGGCCTGTAGTCAAAAATCCCCACGTTTTGTCATGTAATCCTAGTGTTCGAAATTCAACAAAATAAAGAATCGTGCAACAAGAGGAGACGTCAATGATCATGGAAACAAATTTCCAACAACGTTTCCAGAGGCGTTTGAATCTTTCAAGCAGGCAATCTTCGAGAATAAGAGAATCCCTGTGCTTGCAATATTTTTGAAAAAGAAAGAAAAAAAAAAAAAAAAGAAACTAACGTAAGACCGTCAAGATGAAGACTTTTCGCTGCAAGATGAACTGAAACTGAATCTCTGTGCGAATCTCTTTCTCTGCAGTGAAGTTGCAACAGTGTAGACAATTTTTTCGAAGCTCTCGCTGCACAAACTTAAATTACACGAACCGTTTGTCTGTCCCTTTGGCAAGTTCACGCGAACGAAGCTCTACTCTGTACCGAAAAAAGAAAAAGAAAAAGAAAAAGAAAAAGAAAAAGAAAAAGAAAAAGAAAAAGAAAAAGAAAAAGAAAAAGATACGTTCCTCTGGAGAAAGAGGAGGAAAGGAAACGAAGGAGGAAAGATTGTTGGTCTACCTAGGTGTGTTCTTCTGCCTGGAGAACTTGTCGCCGGAGAGTGGTTCCCACTGGGCGCGTTCTTCTTCCTTGAAACTATCCACCGGCGGAAGCAGCGCCTCGAGTTCCGACGAGCCGGAGGCGTCGCTGTAGGACCCGTTGCTTCTCGTCGCGTACTGCGTCGCGCCGGTTGGTTCCTGTGGCGAGCCACCCGGAAGTTCCGGCGTTCCTGGCTTCCTCGGCTCCTTGTCCTCGCCGTTGCCCGACGACACGGGCCTGGGGTTATTTGCGAGCGTCGTTGCCTCGTGGGAGATGTTGGACGAGTCCGTCTCGTCGCACGCCGGCTGTCCCGGCGACAACAGCCGACGCACGTGAGCTTTTATGGCCGGATCTGGGGAAATTACGTTGCTATCTTATTATCTCAGTCTCCTGGCGGCTGACTTTCGCGCGACGATACGCGCGATTTCTTTTCTGATCGAGAATCGTTCCGGGACAGCGGGTTGCCTTCTCCTTTCAACTATTTATTACGGATAGATATGGGAAAGATTACACGTGGTTGGTTTTACAGTTCTTTGTTCAGTTTTGATATTTGTTCAATCAGAGGTATAAAATTATCTCTATGAAATTATCTCTGCGGCACTCGATTTACTACGATGATGGAATTTCGTACTTGAAGAAAATCGCCATGATCCCAGTAGCTCTAATGAATCGCTTAAAGGTTGTTAAATAAAAATTGTTAAATTTATATTATTATTATTATTATTATTATTATTATTATTATTATTATTTACGAAAGATCATTGAAATCTCTAAAAATTCGCCACTGTAGATCTATAAAATTTCTACGAAAAATATAGGAATCCTCCCTTGATTCTTCAAAAATAAAATTATAGTTGAAATTACTCGCTATCTCGATTTCAAACTTCAAAGAAATTGGCAAGGTAAAATTGACAGGCGTTCGAGGCGTTGAAAGTGACCGTAACCGCCGTAACTATATAAAACAGAGGATCCTCAAGAAACTTTTCGAAAAATAAAATAATGCTCGGAGTTACTCGCCATGTGAGCATCTCAAATTTCAAAGAAACGAGATTCAAGACAACGGAGAGACAGGCGCGTCAGAGTACGGCGTCAGGAGGTTAAAAGACCCCGCCACCGTGTGGAATAGACAAGCTTCTCCTCGCCCGGAGAAATTTATCGTCGGCGCGCGCGGAGCGCTTCAAAGCGTAACGCGCGGGTAACGCGTCCCCCGTCGACGCGCGCCAAAGAAAACTCGGATGGCGAGCGCCGACAGAGCATCCAGCTGGAAACGCGCCGCAGCAACTTCGATTCCCGCGGGGATCGCTTGGCCGGGGGATGCGATTTACGAGCGGCAGAACTCGCCCTTAAATAATACAGCTACGTGCTTACGTCTCGTCGCCGTTGTTCAACGTCGACGACGGCGGCGACGACGGCGACGACGACGGCGACGACGGCGACGACGTCGCTGGCTGGCAACCAAACGTTTCACGTTTACTCTGTTTTGCAACGAGAACGAGTAGTGTTCATCCGAGCGGGTTTATGATCCACCGCCAAGAAACGCAATATTTGGAGTCTGGTAGCTGCCTCGAGGATCCGCTTTTCCTCCTAGAGGAATCTAATGGATGTTTCTAGGTTAGGTTGTTTGTTAACTTGGTGTTTCGTTGCTGGCAGGAGGGATTGTTGGCTCGTTTTTTGGGATAGAAGTGGATTAAGAGGCAAGTGGCGGGGAGAAGGAGACTGAGATTGAAAACGTCTGGGATTTTCGGGGCTCTGTTGGAGCTTTTGCTGGGCGTCTTGGCGTATATACGAATGATTTCAAAAATGACGAATTAAATAATATATTATCTTATCCAGTTTCTTATTTAGTTTAACAGCGCGTTAAATTATTCCAAATGAAATGTGTCCAGGTACGATATACACTATCATCCAAGTATTTAGACTAAAAATACCAATTTTCATAGAAATTTACTTCTTCGTCGTCTATCGATAAACCTAAAATAATTCTCTAAAAATATACTCGTGAAATTTCCCACAAACTTTCCACGCAACTCTCGACAACGCGGACAGGTAACCACATATTTTATTTTTCCTTGGTAGAGGCGAGTTCTCCGTGCATCATCTTCCCGCAGACCGTGAGTAATCAATGAGTCACTCTGATAGAAAATCGTTTGTTATCCGAACGCGTCGTTTGATCGTTGGCTCGTGCGCTTAATTACCTCCCTGCCCTCGACACTCTCCCTTTTTTTCCTTTTGTTCTCTCCCTCTCCCTCACCCTCTCTCTCGCACGCGCGCGCGCGCGCGCGCGTATAAAACACGCGTGAGCGACAAACAGCTGCTGTCACCTAGCAGGCATGCAGACTAGAGATGGGATCGAGTACCTCGCAAGTAGATCCGTTGCGAGGACTTTTAAGCGGAATAGTTTGGAATATTTCACGGGTAATTTCGAGGAAATGAAAATAATATTCCAAGTAGACTCGAATCTTTCAAAGCGGAATTCCTTGTATTTTTAACTGGACGAGATATGTTTCTTTCTTTTTTTTTTTTTTTTTCTTTTTTTTCTTTCTATACACGTTGATTTTTAAGCGTTGCATTCCTGTCAGACACGCGCAACCTAATTTAACTAACAAATAAGACAATGTTGAAAAATAATTAAGAACACGTTTCTTAATGATTCAGAGATGATTGTCCGAACGAATCATGTCGATCGAATCATTGGCCGAATGCTTCTGCGACTGGTGCCATCATTTTTGGTCATAGTTATTCATTGCGCTTGATCCCATCCCTAGCGCAAACTCACCAGCGCCGAGTAAAGTTCCAAAGAGCCGAGAGCAGACGCACGATCGCGTCTCCTATCGGTTATTATCGCGTAATTCTATTATTACGATCAGGTTCAAGAGCGACTATATGCGCGTGCACCGAGTTCTATCATTAGACCGGCAGAGTTCACTCACCAGCTGACGTACGACCGTGTCTACGTGTTCTTGGTTCACGGACGCTGGTGATCGTCTAAAATTCGTGGAGCACCAGCGATTTGTGCTAACAGCGGATACACGGTATAAATTTAGGAGAACGAGCATTTGGCAGGGGTCTCGACAAAGTCGAGAGGAACTTTTAAGTAGGTCCTGTGTGAGGTTCTACCATCGTAGAACTTTTCTCGAAAAATGTTCCGGCAAAGGCAGACAAAAGTTTCAGACGCAGAGCAGAACTTGCAAAAAATATGAAAATAAACGTTTTTCTGTCGGAGGGACAGATAATTTGTCGATATTTAAAAAGCTCTCGATAATTTGCTCTCTGTAGCAAACACCGACACTGAATAGTACTCGACGGATGATGTTCGAATAGAAAAATGAATTTTCAATCAAACGTTATAAAATAACTCGTTTCCATGGACTATTATTCTAACAATAAATGTCCGCTTCACGAGAACTATTCAAAAGTGTGTTCATACATGTAACACCTATTTCTATAAAAATTCCACAAAAACAAATATTTAGGAGTATGACCTGATTTGATTTCTTCAAAAACGAAAAGAATCTGTCACGGAGACTTTGTATTAATTTGTTATTACTTTAAAAGATAAATTAAATGAAAAGAACGAGAAATTGCTTTGGTAAATATGATCATAAAATGTCAAATCAAGATGTTGTCTTGATTGAAGATTTGGAATTGCAACAATCGTAATGGATCTATGGGCATCCATTAAGATTAGAACAATGTACTGCGTTGAGCAAATCCCAGCTCACCCTGATGACGTAAACGTATCCTAAATCAATTGTCTATCTCTTCGTGTCGATGCAGACTATCGTTATCGTTCACATTCTACATTGATCAAAACATTAAGATTTGGGACAATTTGCAGTATATGAACAAAAAGATACTACTTATTGAACAGAATGCAAATTTTATGAAATTTATTGTGATACGATTATTTGACATTCTTTATAATGTTTAAATCTTACGAGAAAGCTTGCATTTGTTTAGTGCATTACATATTACGCTTGTTTTGCGACAATTGACTGATTAATAAAGAGTAACAAATTTTTTTTGAAAAAAAGAGAATCATATTTGACAAAAGTCTGTGATTAAATATAAATATTAAAAATAGATTGTTAGAGACTGCAGACTATCGTGATATTCAGAAAATGTAAAAGAATATAAGATGGAATAGAAAATAAGATTCCATTTCTTTAATTACGTTCATAACATTGTGAAATTGCATAAAGATCAGCAACCTGCCAAATTACTACATCACCAATATGATAAAAAATGGAATATCTGATAGTGAATTGATAGCGATGGCAAATTTTCCCTTGTCCACCAGCGTGCATAATATAATTAATATAATCATCAATTGATATTATCCGATTAGTGAAACGCAATTCTAACCACGGTGCAGAAACGTAGAAACGTAGAAACGTAGAAACGTAGAAACGTAGAAACATTGCTCCCAAATCACCGATAATTTTTTCTTTCTGCTTTGCGGCATCGTTCAATCTCCTCGGGGAGGACTGAACCGTCAGGTGGTAAACGCACGCGATTAGCGTGCTCCGGGAACACGTACTTTGTGGCAAAGACAGCTCGCGACAGTCGCAGCGAGCCGAGGAAAGAAAGAAGGAGGAGGAAAAGAGGTAAATCTGACATTTCGTCCTGTAGATTACTACCTAGCTACGGCGAGTCATTAATCAACACGGGCGACACGTTGCAATTAACTTGCCTTCAAAAGAAGGCAACAAAACAAGGCTTGTCGATTAGAGAAGCACGTTCAAACTCTTTCCGCGTGTTGCCGACAGATGAATTTATCGAGTAGAGGAAAACTTTGGTGAAATCGGGTCGGGAATTCCTCAACCCCGCGTCCGTCTCTCGATTCGACGCACTTTCCTTAGAAAATGTGTGTACAAAAGTGCGTACCATCACGATACAAAACTGCGATTACATCTGCACCTGTGTAATAAAATGTAGGCTACATGCAACCGAACAGAGATTCAGCCTATCTACTGATTTACAAATTGTACGGTGAAAATTCGAGAGATTGTGCAACGAATTTTCTGTTGTATCTACATTTTACTTTAATACCGCATATAATTCTCACTTTTGATTCTCATTCCATCTCATTCTCACTTGCAGATTTATTT